ACGATTCGCTTAAGATAGTCGCTGTCAAGGATATTATAAATTTCAAAGCAAAATTCAGGCCGACTCAAAAATTCAAATTACAAGAGGGAACAGAATTAGAGTACGTTACAATAGTTTTTGTTGCTGGTGAGTATTTATATTTTACATAAATTTTTACCTTTTTAACTTCCAACAAATGTCTTAATAAAATAAATTATTATATTTTGTTGCAGAAAGTGAGGAAAAGTTGAAAGAAAAAATAAAAAATCCAAAAGAATTGTAAAGGCACCAAAAAAGTTACTTGAAACTGCATCAGACTTATCAGTAATCGAACAGCCTGTACGAGAAAGTACAAAGAAGAAAGAACAATCGAAAACCCAATCGATCCTTGATAGTCAGCTTACAAAATGGAAGGTATTAATCATTTAAATAATATTATTAAACCATCTCTGCGTTCAACGCAGTGGTTGAAACATTTTCTAACATTATTATTGTTGTCATTGTTATTTTCTAACATTGTTATTTAAACATTGTTATGTCCTTGGCTCTAACTTTGAAATGACTTGGTGAAAAATACCTTTCGATAGATTGGTCTGAAAAGTAGCGTCGAAGCAATCACTTGTCCCCACTAACTTGAAGAAAGCTCATGTTATGCATACTTGTTTCAAGTTAGATAACTATGTTATACCTTTTTTTAATAAACATTTTATTTCTTCAAAGCCTATTGCATACATTAATTTTTCCACAGCATTTTCGTTAAAGAATGTATCTATATTTCTAGAGGTCTTAGTTAAAAGGTTTTTTTATCCATGCCAATTTTACTAAAAATTGAAAGTCTATTTTTTGAAAATTTATCAAATTATGGGGACAAACCAGTGCTGAATCCTAAAATAGTAAATAAGTTCAATAAAATTCATTTATTAATTTTAACCATAGGTAAAAATATTTTATCTTTTTATACTCTATCTTGAATGCAAAAAGTAAAAATTGCAGCCCAGAATATCAATTTAATAGCTGAGAGCACTGAAACATCCTTTGATCTTTGCTATAGCTTTACCGCAGAATCTCTGAGTGAATTTATAACCAATCAGTATGGCTGGCATCTTCAAATCTTTCTAAAAGTATCCTCTTCCACTGAAGTGTTTCACATTTTTGTACATTTCAGTAACTATTTCATTACTAATAAGTACAAGCCTCTTTACGTATTCAATTGCAGCATTTTTTGATTTTTTTTACATTTACATTAATACAAATGTTTCTATGACATTTTTAAAAATTCTCAGACACTTGAGTGGAAGAGAAAACTCTTATAAAGCGTTTGCAACGTCATCTCCCTCTTGGCTATGAAATATTTCAGAAGATTTCGGAAATCTACTAAAAATTCGCTATGCACTTTTGAATATTCAAGATCGGTATATATGTAGGGGAAAGCGGGGCACGCGTAGACTCACCTAACTAAAATGCTCAATATAAAGTTTGTAATAAGAATAAATGAAAATTTAAACAGACCAATATCAAGATGAGAAGTCAATGAATACAATGCAATAGTCAAAAGTCATAATTTTTGCATATTAATTAAATGACAACCAAAATCAAGGAAGCGTTGAAATCAGTGCTTCTTGCCCCAGCGCAGGTAAGAGTAACTGGGCTCGGGGCAAGAAGAGCGCACTAGAGAAGTAGGTTTCTCATGCTTGATACTGTCTTCGCGCACATTGTTAATAGACGTAATTTGTTTATGAACTGAAAAATTATGAAAAAAGTTGAATACATAAACATGTAAGTGTAAATTTTTAGCTATGATTCAAATTTTTACAACACAAAATCTCTAAAATATTCAAAAAATTTTTTATTCGAAAAAATCGACTTTAGAGGATAATCCTCGAAATTTTCTGAAAATTAGATTTTCCGTAATTTCGGAAAATAAACAATCTTCTTCAAAATTATTGAAAAAATTTACGGATGTTTTTTAATTAATTATACAACTTATTCGTTCTATTTATTACTCAAATCAATCGTTTTTGCGATAAAAAATAATTGGATTTTTTTGTATAAACAATTAACTTCGGGAATGCCGTTTTGCTAGAAAAAGCTAATTTGAAAGTCTGTGAAAATTTCTGAGATACAATTACACTATGACAAACTTTGATCATATTTATGAAATTTTTCATCGTAAAACTTTGAAAATCATTTTCAGTTTAAGTTTTGCAGAAATTTTTACTGCTTGTTTTGTTTAGATATTCATAGCTTTTTTACTACGTTTTTAATCCTAAATCTGAACCCGGATTCGAAAAAGGCATTGAATTTCATACTATCATTGTGAAATTAATCGTTTTTGTATTGAGTTAATAATTGCGATCGGCGAAGAGCAAAACAACAACACGGTAAAATGAGGTTAAGTTTGAACGAAAAGTCAGCAGACCGCCGTCACGAATCGTCGCAATGCCTGGCATACCGCGACACTAATGCCCCGCTTCAGGCGCTACTCTTGCCCCATTAAGACATGTTTTTAAAAATTAAATATTTCATAAAATATTGCGTTTAATGAAATTTTGAAAAAAGCCTTTTCATCGGGAAGACATGACTGTTCTTATGAAAAAAAAGCGGTAGCATAAAAATCATTATCAAAAAAGATACAGAAGTGTGAAATAAGAAATTTTTGTAATAATTTTAGCGTATTTTTGTTTCGAGCTAAAATTAATAAAATAAACGTTTTTTCGCGTCGTTTTTGCGCTGCAATCGATAGTTACAAGTATATTTCAACAATATGTGGGGAAAAAATTTATTTAAAAAATCATTATCATTGAAAAAAACAAGAAGTCGTATTACCCCGCAAGTTACACTTGCCCCGCTCTCCCCTACATAAAGTGTTATAAAAATTATCAATAATATCATTGAAACATAGCACGCTAAAATTACCCTTATAAAAATTTCCAATAGGATCCCGCGAAATTCCTATTGGAATCCTATAGGACTCCTGTAGGAATTTCGCGAGATCCTATAGGAAATTTTTATAAGGGTAGGGTTTTATTTGTATCTGTAGCACCTTTATAATACCCTTGAAAACAAATCAAAAGACATAATAAAACATGAAAATTTCCGCTCTTTTCGAATCTGTAATAAAAAATGGGGGTCACCGTGAAAAAAACGATATTTCTCAATATTTTGTTCGCTGTAGGTTTGAGATTATGTTCAAGGTCAATTTCAAGGTCAAAAATCGATTCCCCGTCAAAAAATACATAAAATACATAGGTTTATGAATTTTTTCAAATTTTTTCATCATTTTAATCGCTGAGAATCAAATTTTTAAGTTTTTCCATTTAAAATACATTTAAGCTTCAAGCCGCTTGGGGGCCACCTTAAAATAATTTTTTTGAACTCTATAACCCGGCTTTCTCATTGTCTAATCAAATAGAAGACATCTAGGTGGGGGGAAAAGCAATACAAAAAAGTCAGGAAATAACGGACACCCTAATGATAATATAGAAAACCCTTTGAATGTGACATTAGTCACAAAACATTTTCACTCAAAGGTGATCTCAATAGACACATATGTGCAGTACATGATCGTAAAAAAACCGTAGAATGTGATATTTGTCACAAACCATTTAGACAAAAAAGTCAGCTTACACGTCACGTAAATACAGTACATAACTGCAGCAAACCTTTTGAACGTGATATTTGCCACAAATCATTCGGACAAAAAAGTAATCTCAAATGTCAGATAAATGCGATTCAGAATCGTAGCAAAATCTTCGAATGTGAAATTTGTCAAAAATTATTTGGAGCGAAGGATACATTTAAAAGGCATATGAAAATGGTACACGATCGTAGAAAATCTTAAGAGCACGAGATTTAAAAGTATTTTAAATTTCCATTCAGTTTTTTCATTACTGCAAACAAAATTGTTTTTCCCACTCTAACCTAAAATACGCAACTTTGCCGCTAATTTTAGGCTCTCGTAGGAAAAAATAGTATCTCAAACTGGTGCAGATATGGTTTTTTAACAAAACTCGTTACAGCACTCGCCTTCGGCTCGTGCTATAATCCCTCGTTTTGCTAAAAAACCATATGTGCACCCGTTGAGAAATATACTATTTCCTTCTGCTTACCTCATATAAATTAACGCCTCAATATAAACTACCTTCGCAAAAATAAAAAAATTCACCGTATCGACTGAAAATTGGCACGCACGTATCAACGTTTGGTCGCATATCGCGCGATGCGATATACTGCAGCCGGTGGTGGATTATCGTTGGTCGATCAGTCAACGACCCCTCGCTCGAAAAAACCGACTCGATTTTCGCTGTTGATTCGAGCCACTGTCGCTGTATGGGTAATTGATGATGCGGGGCAGAACGACTCTTCGCATCGTATCACTTTTTAGAAAACGAAGATAAATGTTGTAAATCGCGGCCTCAATAATAACAATGACGATGGGACATCGTGTTGGCGATGACGGCTACGAGGGCGCGTCATTCTGCCTTGTTATGCATTACATGCACGTTGTACCTTACACTTTCATACATTTAGATATATCGTTACATGCTGTTATACGAGTGCGTGAGGTGGCGCGCACCTATATCCGAGAGACATATCCGAGGCGATGCCGCCGTGCGCATTGCCCGGTGAGCCGCCCCGTATTTCAGAGTTGAAATAAAGCCACTCCGCCAAAGACATCTCTGCACGACGATACTGTGAGGAGCGATTCGCATGGCCGCTTACATCGCGTGATATCTGTCTTACAGAATATATAAGCCAATCTCTCGCGCGTAATATCGCGTTTTTTCTCAAATTTCGGAGTCGAGCTCGAGATAGCATACAGCAATTGCGATCTCATATTATAGCGGCACACGTTGTCTCGTTGAATGTGTGCGTGCGTGTGTGTATGTGCCTTATTAATATGTGCGTGTGCGTCCCGCAAACTGCCGTCGTGAATCGGTGGTGCTGCGAGCAGCAGCAGCAGCAGCTATACCAACGCGCGGCTTACAAGCTACTACTGACATAGGGAAAAACGGAGCCGCATAGCTTCCGCACATGCTGTGCTCTCCGTATTTAAATATACATAATAATAAGAGAGACGAGTCAATTTTTGGTGTGTACAGCCGCGCGCCGTGTCGCTTATATTATTACTCTCTGACTCTCACTCTTCGCATACATACATATATATGCGAGAGCAGCAGCCAGCCAGCCAACGACCAACTTATACACTGCTGAGTACAACGACTCGCGGACAGCAGTAGCAGCAGCAGCCGTAGCCGCAGTAGCAGTAACAGCAGCAGCACACACGCTTCCTTTTTTTACCTCGCCAACGTACGACGACTACTCGGCGATATATATAATTGGGTTAGTGCAACAGAAAAAACGGCAGCTACAGCAGCCGCCTAATTCTCTCTCTCTCTCTCTCTGTCTTTCTTTCGCACGTTCCGTTTTTTTCTCTCTCCTCCAAAAGAGTATTTATCCCTTTGGCGGACGTAGTAGGTATAATATCGGCCGCGGCACAACCTTTGCGCATGCTATAATACACATATCGTATAAGTGCACGCATACTACACACGGCGCCTCTCTCTCTCTCTCTCTCTTTTGCTCGGTGCTCCGATTATTGCACTGCTTTGTGCTGTGTGTATACTGAGGCTCGGTTTATCAACATGTGCCGCTGCAGTATCTAACCGACTTTACATACATATCTGCATCTTATAAGCTCTGCGGGGCTTTTGATATTTAATCGACGCGCGGCCACGACGTCTCCCACGTTGTTGTTGCTGCTCTGTACACTCGATAATCTCGACCTCTCCGCGAGTAACGCCGCTTTCTCGAGACCAATAATAATTTCGACAGCAGCAGCCCGTGAGTTTTTCCACCTTGTAGCATAATATAACCGCGAGATTGCATGTATGTATTTTTTCGCACGCACATATATATTAAGCACACGTACAAACACACACACTGCTGTCGGCGAACCTAACCTGCGCTCGTCGGCCCGAGACTGCATCCCGTCATTTGTATGTGCCCATTACCCTGCGTGCACTCGAGTGAGCTTCTGCGTCCGAGATTTTTGCATTTTACATCTGTTATCGTGTCGCTGAAACTTCGACTCGTATCGGATTTTCTGACTCCGGGCCTTCCTTCAGTGAGTTTCACTTAACGTCTTTTTAATCGCTCCAATTTTTCTTTCCTTTAAATGCAAATACACCTCGCTCGAGCTCCGCTGTGTCCTATTCTCTGTGTTGCGGTGCTATATTTTTATTTGCAAAAATATCTCTCTCGTTCAACATTATTTTTCATTAAAACCTTTGTTTAATTATTATAGAAAATTTGCAAAACTTTTTATTGCTTAAATACAGTAAAAATTTATTGATTAAATCATGTGCAATAAACATTTTTCTGAAAACAATAAAAAATTTATAAAATTATGCAAAATTAAGAGATAATTCATATTGCTTCATGTGTCAATTAAATTATCATAAACTAATTACTGACATACAAATAAAAAATTTAGCCGATTCATATCTTAACTGAAGCATCTTGATATAATAATCTTGATGTTTATTTCAATAATTTTGCTGTCACTGAATAAAATGTTTATCTTTTACTTCTACTGTAGAATGATTTATCCAAGCAAGATTTATTTTAAAGTCATTGACCAGTGATGTATTGAATTTCAACCAGTTTTAAACATGGTTGAAAAGTATAATTTTCATCTTACACATGATTAGTCAATGTAATATTAAGAAACTTGATATGTTTGTAGAAAACATCAATTGAAGCCATATGATAACCCCTGTATAGATACATTGCTTACCACAATCCCCCCTACATAGAATGCAATTAATAAATATACAAGCACTGACTGTAATATTTCATTCCTAATAATACCACTGACCGTGTTACTGTTTCAGCTGAAAATAAAGAACTAGTGATCAACCGTTAAAAATGGAACAAGTTGATGGTTCATTCAAATTTCAAGACCACAATAACGGGTCTGAAGATACACCCATGCCTTTGGTAGGAGCTCTCGAAAGTGTAGCTATTTTGGATGCTGGTGCTCAATATGGAAAAGTCATTGATAGGAAAGTACGAGAACTTAGTGTCCATTGTGAAATACTGCCTCTTGATACACCAGCGTTAACCCTCAAAGAACAGGGTTATAAGTGAGTTTTTTTTCCAGTGACATGATAGTGTATGGAATAAAAATTTCTTAACTTTTGTGATTTTTCAATTTCAGAGCAATTATTATATCTGGGGGACCTAGCTCTGTATATGCAGAAGATGCACCCAGATATGACGCAGATATTTTCAGAATAGGAATTCCTGTTTTGGGTATTTGTTATGGAATGCAAATGATGAACAAAGAATTTGGAGGGTCTGTCGAAAGAAAAGAGTGTCGTGAAGATGGTCAGTTCACAATTGAAGTTGATACAAAGTGCCTCTTATTCAAGTATGTGTTCAGATTGAGTCAAATGTTTTTATCTTATGACACTCAAATTAATTTGATATAAATATATTGCAGAGGCTTGGAAAAAGATCAAATGGTACTATTAACCCATGGTGATAGTATAGATAGAGTAGCAGATTCTTTTAGGGTTACCGCTCAATCATCAAATTTTGTTGCTGCCATTGCTTGTGATAAATTAAATTTATATGGTGTACAATTTCATCCAGAGGTTGATCTATCAACCAATGGTAAAATTATGCTGCAAAATTTTCTGTTTGGTGTAGCTGGACTCACTGGAAATTATACATTGCGAGATCGTGAATCTCAATGCATTCAATATATTCAAGAAACTGTTGGTAACAATAAAGTTTTATTACTTGTTAGTGGTGGTGTTGACTCAACAGTTTGTGCAGCTCTACTTCATAAAGCATTGAAAAAAGAACAAGTTATTGCTGTACATATCAATAATGGTTTTATGAGAAAAGGTAAATAATTTGTTTTATTGATTTTTCTGTACAATAATTTTAAATTAGTAAAAAAACGGTGTATTAAATAGTTGTGTAATTTAAATCAGAACAAATGTCCTTCTGATTATATAAGTATTGAAAAACTATTGCAAATCCATTGAATGTGTTACATATACCTTTATGTAAAGAGTTTCTTTTGCATGCATTTAAAAGCCTATAATTTAGCCTTCTGTATGTGTAACACTTCAAATGAAGAAATTTTTTTACTAATGTTCTTGACACAAATTCATTTAAAATACTTTATAAAATGTATTGCTTTAGGTGAAACACCTTTGGTTGAACAAAGTCTGGCAGAAATTGGCATTAAACTGAAAGTAATCGATGCGACGCTTGATTTTCTTCATGGTCAAACGACGATTCCGGAAGGTTCCTCTATTCCTTGCGAGACCACTGCAACGAATAATCCTGGAGAAAATCAAAACCCTCCAGCTACTTATTGTGTAGTAGTTAACAAAGCCAATAGAGATGTCAATATTTTCCCAAAGCCAAAATTAACGAAAATGCTTTGCTCAACAACAAATCCAGAAGAGAAACGCAAAATCATCGGCGACGTCTTCGTTCAAACAGCCAACGAAGCAATGGAAGAGTTGGGTTTGAAACCCGAAGAAGTCTTTCTCGGACAGGGCACATTAAGACCCGATCTTATTGAAAGTGCCAGCTCTCTAGCCAGTGGCAAAGCCGATGCCATTAAGACACATCACAATGACACTGCATTGGTCAGAGAGCTTCGCGATCAGGGTAGGGTCGTTGAACCGCTCAAAGATTTCCACAAAGACGAAGTCCGGCAATTGGGTTGTGATCTTGGCCTTCCAGAATCACTTGTACAAAGACATCCGTTCCCGGGGCCAGGTCTAGCTATTCGGATAATTTGCGCAGAAGAGCCTTACATGGACAAAGATTTTTCCGAGACAAGAGTAAATGTTTTACCCAACAAAAAAATAATTTCTTAAAAATGTTATATTTATTATTCATTTTTGCATAATAGGTACTGGTAAAAATAATAGCAGAATACGAACAAATGCTTCAAAAGAAACACGCCCTTTTGAATCGAGTGGATGGCGCTACGAGTGAGATAGAGCGCCAGCGACTCCGTACAATTTCGAATCAACGTCATCTTTCCGCGACGCTTTTACCCATTCGAAGCGTTGGAGTACAAGTAAGAATAAGTTTTTCCTCGTTATAAATCATACAAAACAAGTTCACTTTTACCGTAGATCATCCGCACTTTGTTGCGTAATTCTAGCTGGAAAGTCTGAATGTAGGTCAATCTTAGGCGGACAAATTTATCGCTTACATTTCAGCATGATAAATTTTACGTAACTCCTTTGTCTGGTTTATAAGAAAAAATTTAAAAAATCGGCACTATCATTAATTATAAGTCGCATTTAAAATAGTGTAGTACAATTTTTTGCTACTGTTGAGAAAACAAAAAATCGGTTGTAATTATCCAATTATTCATATAATCCAATAATCAGTGAACAATTTAATACACGCGAAACTAGCTTATGATGATATACAAGTAGTATGATGATATAATCACGCGGATTAGTGCTAATTAAATCATGTATCTGATTTGAATTGCAGGGTGATTGCCGTAGCTACAGTTATGTAGTTGGTTTATCGAGTGACGAGAATATACTTGAACCTGCAGAATGGGATGATTTATTGTTCCTTTCGAAATTAATACCACGAATCTGCCACAACGTCAATCGAGTTTGTTACATTTTTGGTAGTAAAGTACAGCATCCAGTCATGGATATTACTCCGACGTATCTTACCCCCAATGTTATTGGGACTATTAGACAAGCTGATTACGTTGCAAATCAGGTATTTAAACATTCTTATTTCTATAAATAATCTCTCAATTATAAACATGTGTTAATTGATATTTTTTTAAAGGTTTTGTCGTCGAACGGTTGTATGGGTCGTATTAGTCAAATGCCAGTAGTCTTAATCCCTATTCATTTTGACCGTGACTATGCCGCGCGTTCACCTCCCTGCCAGCGTTCCGTTGTTCTCAGGCCGTTCTGTTCGCGGGACTTCATGACAGGTACTCCAGCCATACCTGGAAACGAATTACCTATGCACGTGAGTATTAAATAATAAATATTGTATCATCTCGAGAAACGCTTAATTCTATATTAATTACGTTTCAATATATTTTAGGTAATCAAGAAAATGGCCAGTGAAATTTCCCTAGTCCCGGGCATTTCGCGCGTTTTGTACGACCTTACGTCCAAACCACCAGGCACTACTGAATGGGAGTAGTGAATTCACGTTGAAGACAGTCACTCGCAATATTTATTTAACATACAAAAAATTTTAAAAACTTTGCCAATCTATTGAAAAAGTTTAATATTGACGATCAACATTCGTCGATTGTTACACTTTTAATTATCATGCAATATAAGTTGGTAATAAACAGTAAAAAAAAATTAACAGAAATGTCAACAAGTGTAACTGGCTGTGCATGTGCGTTGACTAGATATGCTTGACTTTTTCTCAGTATGAGTAATTAAAATAACGTTGAAACAAGATTTCTCAAACAGCAAAAAAAGGTACATGAAAATTGTATGTTTGTATATTACGGTTATTTGTATGCAGCTATTTATATACAGTGCATTATATATCTCACATTTATTATTTACAATATAACGACTTTTGGTTGATTATCAATCGAACAAAAGATACGTGACAAAAAACTGTTTTATTTGAAAATGATTAATTTTTTACTTAATAAAAAAACTGCCTATTAACAAATAATGGCGAAAAAGTAGCTCTAGAGCATTTTTTTTTAAAAATAACACTGGAGCGACGAAAATAACTCTGAGTGTATAAAGGAAAAAAAATGTTTACGAATCTACGTCAGGTGAAAAAAGCTTCAATGTGCTTTTAGGTATGAATGACTCTACGGGTGATCGTGCATTAAATGATTTAATAAAACATAAAAATGGTTGTACGTTTGCATGTTTATGATTGTAGAGAGTATGTGCGTGAGTAGAGAGAAAAAATGTTAATTAAGAATTGCGTAAGAGTTGAGTATCAGTGCTTCTTGTAAATATGTTATGCATTCACCTTTGTCATCGTTTATTTAAGCAAATTGTAAAAAAATTTATTTATCAAGTAACATATAATGTATAGAATTCCATAAGTACTTGGTCACAAATCTTGTTACATAATTGATTCTTCATAAGAATTATTATAAAAAAAAAATGAAAACAAATGGAAGAGTAAAAGCAAAAAAATAATAAAGGTAGAGAGAGGGCGGCGGTCGACGTGTAGTCCGAAAATGAATGTATGCAGCATATTCGATTTATTTTATAGACATTCTATTAAATGCAGTCTCTTTGTGGTGACATTTAAATGAATTGTAAATTTTTTTGACAAAGCACAGAATTTATTGTGACGGGGAAGAGGACGCGTATATATGTTGATTTCACTTTGTGTCGAATGTGACACATGAGATTGCGAAAGCAGAAATTCACTTTTATCGAACTTGCGAGGAAAAAACGGAGCAAAAAAGTGTTTTCATATTATACATTATTAATCAATATACTTATAATAAAATCAAATTTTTACATTAAAAAAAAAACGTTTGTACGCATGCACTAATAACCCTATGGAAATTGGATCGTGGAGTTTTATAGACGGATGCAGATAACGAGTTTTTTTATTATCGCACGCATAAAAGTTTCGATAATGCGCGATCGCGCGCACGCACGCACGCTCGCGGCCGAACGTAAAATAATAATTTTGTTAACCTACTTTTCAAGCAGTAAGTTCGGAGAGGCGTTTGTGTTATCGGTCGCTCGTTTGAAGCTATGTCGGAAATTTGAATGTATCGAAGAGAGAGAAGAGCGGCCGCGTATAGCACGAGTTCCTGGAGTGCGGCGGTGGTGGCGGAACCGCAAGTTCAAAAATTCTACTTCTTAGAGAGAGAGAGAGAGAGATATGGAGAGATATTGAGCTACACCGGGCGAAACGATTTTTTGAAATAATTCATATAAAAATTCGAACCGGCGCTTTATCTATGCTGCGGGGGTACGTATAAAAGATCAAAACACACAACATTGTCAAGCATTTTAATTGAAAAATCGATATTATACATTATATTCACGGGCAGCAAGCGGCAAGCGGGGTATACAAACGTAATCGGAAAATCGATAAAAGCAAAAAAAGAAAGAAAGAAAAAAAAACAATAACAACAACGCGAGAGTCGCGCGGCGCGGCCGCGAGTCGTGAACCTTGAGTTTTGTGTGTGCAGTACCTAGCTCGCTCGCGCGGGCAGCTAGCAATTAGCGAATCGATAACGTTTATAGGTAGGCAGGCAGGCGCGCGCGTGCCCGAAGGTTCGCCTGCACACGAGTCAAAAAAAGCTCGCGCCTTTATAGTAGCGTTTTCGTACGTAAACTGCGTTACTTGCAGTCGATATGTAATGTATGAGAGAGGCGGCAGCAAGGGTCTGCGAGCTGACGCGGCGGCGCGGGGTCGATATAGGTTCTTCTCTCTCGGCTCGGCGCGCGTGCCTCGGTGTGCATACATGAACGAGCTATAACACACAAGAGCGCATGTTGTATCGGAGAGAGAAGAGAGGTAGTGGCTCGCACATGTGTCGCCTGCAGTAGTCGCGCGACGCCGTCGTCGTCGTCGTCGTCGTCGTCCGTTGTCCGTCGCCTGCTGCCGTCCGAAGAATCAGAGAGAGAGAGACACCACATTTATACGACGTGCCGCAGCAGTTTGACATTCTCATGCGATAATAATCAAAGTGTGTGACAGACTGCGTATCGTCGGTTAGGGCGAAATTGAGCAACTATTTTGTCGTGTTCCCGGAGTGCGCGAGAGACGACGACGAAATCCCGCGCGATTACTCAGTACTCTCCTCTTTGCTTCGAGGGTCCCCGTGCGCGAGTGTGAGTGAGTTATATTGTACGGTGCGCGCGTGTGCAAGCCCCATCGTTGCTCGTTGAGAAGCCGATGCGTGAAAAGCTGTTGATCGACCGCATCACCAGCAGCAGCAGCAGCAGCAGCAGCAGTACAACGACGGCGTCGACGACGATTCCTCCACCAGCAGCTCCTGCAACGACGATGATTCACCAGGCCTGCGATCATATCGAGGAAGAAGAAAGGATCATCGTCGTTGACAGCACCTTCGATCGCTGTTGGTCGCCGCCGCCTTCGCCCTCGTTGTCGTCGTCGTCGTCGCGGCCTATAAGGAGTAGCAGCAGCAGCACCGCGGCTGCCGCAGCGGGCATGGGCTCATCGATTTTCGGCCCTCTACAGGTGTGACGATGCAAAAAAAAGAAAAAAAAAATCAACCAAATGACAAAGCAAAAAAAAAATCGGAGCGAAAAAGCTCGATCGGGAAAAGATTCTTACACCGGGTGCATGTGTTGCAACATTCGCTCTCTCTCTTACTCTCGTCGGTCGTTACATGATCAATGATTTCGTGCGCTCGTTCTACATATAACGACAGCAGCTTGCAGCACGGATGCAATGCACTGCAACATCAGCAGCAGCATTATTATTTCCGCGAATGCGAGTACTACACGCGCCGTGCCGCGCGCTCTCTACGAGCCACTCGAGCGCTTGCGCGTGCGAAAAGCTCTCTATAGTATCTCCAGATACGTATCGCTCTTCGGGGAGGGTAGTTGCTCCTTTCTCGCCAGCAGCAACGACGGCGACGAGTCACGATCATAATAATGACAATAATAGTAACGACGATAGCAATCGGCAGCAGGCCGCCTGAAGCGCGAACGGGGGGCGTCTCGTTGTTGGAAAATGCAGTAGGTAGCAATTTCCTTGCGCGCGTGTCTCGCTCTCTCTCTTTCTTCGTGGTAATGCACACATGCATATACGTGCAGCCGATCAGTGCAGCAAAATCGATCGATATATCGAGCTGACTTTCAATCGTACACGTAGCCGCATACGTGTGGCTCTCTCGCTATGCCATGTCATGTCTGTCTGTCTGTGTCCGTGTGTGGGCACACAAGTCTATGCAATAAAGTTGCATATACATAGTTCGCGACCCAATGCCGACGACAACGCGTCGATCGTGTGCCAAAGTGAGCGACGCATTATATACAGCCACTGTTATATCGATCGCGCGCGTCGGCACGAACGAACGAATGAAAAAAAAAATTGCGCGCCGCTCGATCCGCCTCTATAAAACGCGAGCTACCGAGCTTGCGACGAGAGCGAAAGATTTGTCCGCATCGATATGCGTGCTCCGCTGCCGCCACTGCGCGTTTAATATATATAAATATGCGGCAAGACTACTCCCTTTTCATGGCCCCCGCGTCTCGTTTATTATAGCTCGTGCGGCTGCACTCGTACGTATGAATATTTAATTTAAATATATACGTCGTCGGGCGCTGATACGATACGCGAGTAGCCGCTATTGGCTCGCAGCCTCGCTCTCGGCGCTTTTTAAGCTCTCTATATAACGTAAATGCGGTCCCCGCCTCGAGTCTATATGAGATACCGTCACGTGCAGTCCGAAACACGTGACATTTTTCGCCGCCGCCGCAGCCGTCGTCGCAAGTCATGGTCTTTTATAAGTGTGTCCGTGTGTCTGTGTATGTTGTGCAGCGTCGCTCTTGTTATATTATTAGGAGAGGAGAGAAGTCGATGCGTCTGCGTTTAGTCGAGTCGGTTGTTGTGATGAGTCAAGACTATACAAGACGACGCGACGACGATTAAAAAACAATACGGCAATTCGCATTATCGGCCAATGTTATAATGTAAATATACATAACGTGTATACTCGGCCTGCTAGCATGACCGGCACAATTCGAGCGATACAATATGCATCGCCGTCGTCGTCGCGCATAGATATGCATTGTTACAAGCTCACCGATCACGATACTCTGGCGCACATACAACAAAAGTGCACGTCTCATCGGATTTTATTATCGATGACAGCTGTACTACTACCATCATTATGTAATTTGGCCCCACACGCGATCGTTCGATATCTTTTTGGCAGACGGAGAGCGAGCGAAAAATCAGAGCCGCGTCTCTCTCGTAATAAGCAGCAGCGGCTTAGAGTTAGCTCGCCCTCGCGCACACGCGGAAATTACGAAATTTTACGGCTCGAGTGCGACGAGCTCCTCTTCTCCTCTCCTAAATTTGCGAGCTACTCACACACAGACACACACACATATATATATGTAAGCTCGTCTGCTGCTGGTGGGGCATAAATAATTCCAGACGCACGTATATACACGCTCTCGTGTAAACGTTATAAGCCACAGAGTTTAGCCACGCGAGAGCACACCACTACGCTACATATTACACATTCGTCGATGTTATATTATATACCGGTCAGTATATTAGCAGTGCGTCGAGCGAAAGAAGGGGGGAACCCACCGAAATTCGAGCGTAAGGGGCAATCGTCGTCTCGCGCGAAAACGATGACACCGCTCGCGAGCTCGTGCCGCGCGATCGTCTGCAGCAGCACATGCGACCGTGAGTGAGTGAGTGATACAGATAAGAGGATAACACACGCAAGATATAGCCCCGCGGGAGGATCATGCCGGGACGACGACGCGCCGCGAATCGAGACCGAAAATCGACTCGCGTTGTATCCATTGGCCAGGACTGCTGCTCCGTTGCTGTCGTCGTCGACGCGTATCTCGTTGCATCGACTTATACCCGGATCAGATGACAGCTGATCGAGCGAGCGAGACACAAACCAAAAGTTATATTATCGACGAAAATTCATTCATCGCTCGTAGAGTAGTCGTGCGTGCTCGTGTCGTATAGTGTTTAGTTCAGCCGATTCGATCGAAATATAAATTATACATAAACAAGTAAGTCCTCCTTATAACGCTTTGCTTTATCATCATCATCATCGTCGTGCTCGTATAGGCTTATAACGTGTCAAAGAGAGCTCCGATTATTATTATATTATAATGTGCTGGGCACAAGGGGTCGATACATTTGTGACATAAACTTGGGTACATGCTATACACACACACGTGGGCCGATCGTATCCTGTATATAGGTATACACACAATGACGCGTCGTAGTAAATGTGTGTTTATAATATTAAAATTTCACCCATCAACTCGAGCCGAACAATGAGCTAGAGCTTTCAACGAGCGACTATCGCGCTCGTACATACTCGTATATAAGTACGCGGTTGATCATTATCGAACAAAAAAAAAGGTAAATATTATAAACGCGTGTATAAGTGGTATTTGTGCTGCACTGTCATTCGAGAGCCGCATATTATGTAGAAAAATTTCACGTGACGCCGCCAATTCTCGCAATTCGCGCGATCAATGATCTCTCTCTCTTCCTCTCTCGCTTCGTTTTGCTCGCTCGCTCTCCTCGGGGCAGCACACCGAGTATCAAATTCTCTAAATATAACATTTGAGAATGGCACGAAGCGTAGTAAAAAAAAAAAAAGAAAAAACACCGAGCCGTGACAAGAAGTTGCGCAGCTTTTGTTAATACATGTTAATCGGTACACACACACGAATGCACCGTGCATGTGTGTTGGACTGGCTTTATGTAAGACGCAAGCGCGCGCGCGTAGTTTTTCAACGTAAAAAAAAAAAAAAAACAGTAAGATGGAAAAAAAATACCCACAGAGGAATCGTTACAATAACACTGACTGCAGCAGAAAATTTAAGGCACTAATTGCTCTATGATTAAATGGCCTTTAACGGTTGTGTATTATACACGTTCGTATACCTAGATATATCCGTCGTAAGCGCGCGACGGCTTTGCGTAATATCCCCCTGCGCGCGCGCGATCGTGTGCTTACCGAACCTCGTGTGCAGCTGTTGCCGATTTTTTGTTTCCTCTCTCTGTTTTCCGTTGCCATTGGCCATTGGAAGGGCTATTGTTGTTTTCGATTCGATCTCATCGCGTGCTTTTCCCATCTGGTAATTGAATAAAACAAAAAGTATGCGCACAACAGTGGACTCGAGGCGCGACACTTTGCGCGATCGGTCGGTGCGAAAATTAGTGCAATATATCATCGTTAATCGCGTACTATTAGGAGGCTAGAATAAATCGCGCGCCGAAGTCGTTATTAATTTTGTCTCTCCTTTTTTTCGCGCGCGCGTTATGCAAGCTCGCTGGCGAGCATCGAATTATCATAATCCACACGGCGGAGAGCGAATTTTTCCAATAATCAAGCCTCGAGCGTGTTCGATGATAATATTTCGTATTTCCGTCCGCAGAATCTGAGGTGACTTGAAGCGAGCTCGGTGAAGAATCAGCTCCGCCAAGCCTGCTGGTACATCTACTTTATCGTCACAATGACCAATCCGGAAAGGTACAAAAGCGACTTTTTAATTTTTCTACTTTTCACTCGTCCAATTATATTAAAATCGATATAAACTCGTACAGGCTGGAGGAGCCACGGGCCTGCAAGAGGACGATCCTCTTCCAGTTCCAGCGGCTGGCCGATCTCGTGCCGGCCCGCTACGTCCTCTACATGCTGTCGTTCACGGGCTTCGTCGTGTCCTTCATGATGCGCATGGACATGAACATGGTGATCGTGCAGATCCTGCGCAAGGAGAAGGATCGCGTGGTGCCGGTCTGCTCCACCAGCCAGCCGGACGACATCGTCAACGGAAGCTACTACAACTCGACCGAGCGTATGTTGGCCAACGACGCGATGAATCGCGATCGCTTCGACTGGAGCACCGACGTCGAGATCTGGATAATCAACAGCTTCTACTGGTGCTACCTGCTGTCCCAGGTGGCGGGGGGCATGCTCACCCAGCGCTTCGGCACCAAGCTCGTGTTCGGCGGCTCGCAGTTCGCCACGGCCATCTGCAGCCTGCTCATACCCGAGGCGGCCTACATCGGCTACGTTCCCGTCGTAATTTTGCGCAGCATTCAGGGCGTAGCGAGCGTGAGTCACACTCTAAGATACATTTTCATCGTGATACGTCTTATGCAGGAATTTTTCGGGCATTGGGGGAGAATATTTGGCTAATCTGGTGACTGGTTTTTTTTTTTTTCTCTGCAACAGGGCCTGACGTGGCCAGCCATGTACGCCGCGGTGGCCCACTGGATACCCCTCGACGAGAGATCGCGTTTCATGTCTTCGTTTCAAGGTAACGTTTAAAGTCGCTGTCATTCGAGACATTTTAATATACTCGCTATACGTCTCGCGATAATCGTTTGCGCGATTAGAGTCACTATATATAATACGATCGTCCATCAATCCCGCAGAATTCAATAATCGAACTGTTATAAGCTTTCTTTTTTTCTTCCTTTTTTTGCGCTACTTCATCTCCGCGAGAGAGAGATATAGACCGTTTTTAATGACGATTAATGGCAGCCCCGAGTATTTTCCACACAACATACAGAGCTCGAGAAAGAGAGAACCTTGGCGCTTCTCGAATTCCTTCGTACTACGTACCCCTCGCGTATACACTATATAATACAAATAGCTTCGACACTTTCAGCTTACGCGCGCGCCGACACTTAACGAAGAAATCAATTACGAGCGAGCGTGTAATTTTCCTCATTTCGCCTCATTTCGTTGTCGTCATTTTTTTTATTCGGTTCTATGCAATTTTTTTTGCTCTCTCTCTCGCTCTTTATACGTTTAATTACACGTTGTTGCTGTTGTTGTCGATAATCGTTCTCTCTCTGTAATATGTGACTCATTGTATAATTGTAACGACGACAGGCTTCAGCTTCGGCATCGGCATCATCTACCCGCTGGCAGGCTTTATCATGACCCATTACCACTGGAAGTACGTGTTCTACACGACGGGCAGCATCGGCGTGCTCTGGAGCTTGGCCTGGTACCTGTTCGCCTACGACACGCCCTCCAGCCATCCCCGTATATCGCCCATGGAGTATCAGCTCATACAGGGCAGCATCGGCGAGTACACCAATCCCAACGTGAGTGTAATTTTTTTTTTCACCCGAAATTGTGTTCATATTGTTATAACGAAGTAATGTTTTTGCGCGCCCAGCTCGTAACCGTGCCTTGGAAAAAGATCCTGAAATCGTGGCCGTGCTGGTCGATCGGCCTGACGACCTTCGGACGCATCTGGGTGCACTACGTGTTCATCGTCAACGGCCCCAAGTACATGGAGAACGTGCTCGGGCTCAACATACAAACGGTGAGTGACATTATCCGTCCATCAGCGAAAAATCAACGAAACAATTGTGGCTGATTTTTACTTTCCGCGAGATACAGAACGGTATCCTTAACGGACTGCCCTTCATCCTGAGTTACATCACCTCGGTGGGATTCTGCTGGGTCGGCGACGTGCTGGTGCGCTCCAACACCATGAGTCTGCTGAACGTGCGAAAATTGTTCACTGCTCTTGGTAAGAAAATAAATATTACAGCTTGACAATGAAGAGCGAGCAAAAATATTATTATTTACGATTCTATTTGTATTCTCTGCTCAGCCCAAGTCGTGCCGGGAATCCTCACTATCGTCATCGGGTTGTTCGGCTGCAACGTCGCCGGGGCCCTGACCTTCTGGTTCATCGCGGTTGCGCTGATCACCGCTGCCTACGCCGGCGCCATGGCCAACGTCGTCGACATCGCGCCCAACTACGCCGGGCCCGTGCTGGCCTTCGCCCAGACCATACACATGTGCGCGAGCTTCATATCGCCCGCGGTGGGCACCTACCTCACCAAGGACCAGAGCCTCGAGTCCTATCAGAAGTACTACCAGCTGACGGCCGTCGTGTCGTGTCTCACCTACGGCTTCTTCCACTTCAAGGGCTCGGCCGACGTGCAGTCCTGGAACTATCCGGACGAGAAGCTGCCCCAGCCGGCCGCTGGCCAGGAGGAGGCCCAGTCGCCGCTCAACGACGACGCCGACGCCGAGGATCAGGACGAAGAGGAGGACGAGGGGGAGACCGTCGGTGAGCTGCCGAGGAGGGCGGCCGAGCTCAACAGGAGCAGAGGTTCCCAGGAAACCGAGTCCCGTGCCGGACGCGATTAGCCCACAGACCCTCCCCCCTTTTTTTTCACTTTGTTTTTTCTCGCCCACACTTTTTCCAAAACGAAAAACAGAAAAAAACTATACGCTTTTTAACGGTACTTCTTCCATATGTTTAATGTTAAATCTTTGTCACGTGTGCACACGACGCAACAACGACAAAAACGAGAAAAAAAGTAGAAAAAAAACAGAATAATTACGCAGAACACACACAGGATCGTTTTCGTGCATAAACATGACATATTGATATAAATGGATAAAATATAAAAGTTAGTCTTATGTATTCGTATTACGCGCTTATTACTTGAACTTTCCGCTCAAACCGACGACTACGAGAGCGCACGCAATTTATATATGTATATTTTTTTTCTTTCACTGCGCGCCGAGTCGTTTTAAATAATGAAACTAAACAAATATATACAAGAGCCGCGACTTACATAGATAGCGATTTATTTTCTATAATAAACGGACTATTTTCTTAAAGCTGTACTTTTTAGTCTCTCTCGGTTGATCTACTTGTGTATATATGTGCTGTCGTTGATTGTAAGCATTTTTTTTCCTTTTGTTTACGACAATACTACTTACACCTTTCAAAAAAAAAACAACTAAAAAAACAAAAAGAGATGACCTGATAATATTATGTAATGTAAAATACACTCAATGTGCTCAAATGTGATCAAAGTAGATTTATCATGTAATCGAGAAATAGACGTACATTTATTAAGCTACGAGAAACAAACAGAAAACGTTGTAACAAAATTAAAAAGCAGCAGTGTGATACTTAATATGAATGCGTATAAGAGAATCGAATTCTAACAATAGTGAATATTTCTTATATTAAGAGTATTTGTTGTATTTCCAAGTGCATACTTAAAAAAGAAATATAGATATGTATACACACACGCGCGCGTACGTATGTATATATAATAATATGATTTATAACGAAGGCTTGATTTTCGAGCAATACTTTTTTATAATGACCAAATATTATTTTCGAATTGTATACGCGGTATACGATTCGTCATGCAGTATATATTATATAGAAGAGAGATAGTAAAGGCGATTGTCGTGCTATTACATTTTTAGAGTATATAATATATTCACATGCGTTTGAAGAGCAGAAAAAAATTTTTTAAGTGAGCGAGATAGCGGGAGGCGCGCATTTGGACGCGAGGAAGAAAGAGAGAGGTAGAGAAGAAAATAATTGCGAATGAAATATTTACTAAGGCGTACACAAAACAAATTGTAAAGTTTATTTTTTTGTCAATCGAGTATGCGGATTTCGTTATTTGAAATCTTTATTATGTACTTATGAATATATTGAAAAAATATTATCGATAAAAATGACTTCTGCTGCGTCGATTCGCATGAAAAAAAATTAAAATAATAATAATTTTAATAGTAATAATACTTAATAATAAAATATTATTAATAACTAGAAAGAGGTGAATTCTTACAATCGTCTATATCGATGTTATTCTTAAGAGCGAAAGTACACATTTGATATATATACGAGATTGTATATTGAATCTATTAATGTAATGGAATGTCACTTGAGCCGAATGCATTTTCCTATTGAAAAAAAAAAAAATCAAAACAATGGTGAACGATGAGAAATGAAAAAAGTAAACGAAAAAAAAATGACACTATTTTTATAAAAATAAAAATTTTAATTTGAAAATCGAGCAAACAGTTGGTTTTTATATCACCATCACATCCACAAATGGTCTACAAAAATCAGACCTTTTTAAAAATGAAGGTAAAAATAAGACGTTCTAGATTTTGCAACGGAAGGTAAGATATTTCAGTAGTTTATTTACATCGAGGAAGAAAGGTTCGTTTAATGGAAAAAATTTTAATATACTATAAAGTCTACATGTTTACGATAATGTTTTCTGCAAATTTCAATAAAACGACATCAGTCCAATAGCCAATCCGAAAACACGCTGTGCTGCGCTCAAGATCCACCAAGACTTTTTTATTCACCTAAAAATAAAAATTAATTTATATATTAATTATAATTTGATTTAATTTTTTTCTTTAATAAAGAAAGGCGAGAATACGAGGTCACTCGCTTAGGAGCGCTTGTACGTAACATTATGAAAATTCTTATCTCTCGAACGCTTTTAACGATCAATCAGAAAGTTTCAAAACTACCCACACAACTCATTAATCGAGTCGACTTTTTAAGAAAGGACTATAAATGGCAGGCATCACTAAGGCGTGAAATAACCAAGTATTCGCTGCAAAATTTAACGCGTCGACGACAACGTTGATTTTCATTCTGAATCAAAATTACGCGTGAATCGGAACATTCAATATGTACATACCTTAATGACCTTTTATATTATATTTATTGAAAAATTTTAGTTACACCTAAACACTAATTAAATTTAAGTGATGAATGAAGTACCAATACTATAATTAATTAAATAGTAATATAAATTGAATATGCTATAAATTTATTTGGCCATTATGCGATTTCATTGGTAAAAATGTAAATACCTCTGCTATTTTTATAAAATTTAATTACCTTACTCGCATTAAACGTAACGCACTAAGTTTGAAAAATACAAAACTTTGATTCATTGACAAATATGGCAAGCGCATTGTAAACACTCCGAATTTCAGCTCTTGATTCAGATTCGCAGTAGTTCGTGAGTTACCGCTAGATGGCGTATGACCGAATTTTCAAAATCCAAAACAGAAAAAACAAAGTCTATTAAGACTTTAATTAAGTCTATTAAGAATATTAATTAAGTAAGATCAACTTTTTCCTCACTCAATGACGGTAGTATCTTTGTCATACTTCGGCATTGATATGCGATTGACAGTTTCTAAAAATATTCAGTTTCTGAAATCTTAATCAACTAGAAACTCTTTAAAATTGTACTATATTATTTAAAATACCAAAAAAGTATATTGATTTCAAAGTCCTGTACTTGATGAATCCTCATCCTAATATGAATATGGCAACAAAAACTTGTTATGAATATTTGTTGACCGAAGTGCTAGATCAATCTGCATATAATCCAGTTCCGAAAAAAGCTTCTAATATTTTACTTTAGTTACATTCAAAAGAACCTTTAGTTCGAAATCGATTGCCATAATTGTGCAGTGATAATCCACTTTTAAAATTAACTGAAACCCCATAAAAATCTTGTATCAACTGGCTTTTTTTTATCGTCTCATTGAATCATGAAAAAAAAATCAATAGAGATCCTTGTGACGATTCTCAATGATAAATTTGATAATGTATTATGCACTAGTATGATCACAATCTTAAGAATCGTAACGCTATTTTGCGCTGGTTTTCAATATTTAATTAAAAGTTCCTCGGATTCACTTCACAATGGACTCGAGCTTTCCACGCCTAGCGTCTGGAATCTCACCTACATCTGTAAATTTGCGCGTCAAAGCGCGCAGCAGATCGCGGAACAATTTCGTCGTCGTCTTGGGCTCAGCGGCAGTATTCGCGGGGTGTGCTCCTTTCACCACTTTCGTATTACGAAATATGATAATGACGCGCGAGTACACAACGAACACACAGCGAGATACACAAAAGGTTTATTATCCGATCGGCTCTCTCGGGTTTGAAAACTACGCCGACTTTCAATAAAACCCATTCACACACAGCCCAAAGGTAATGGGCAAAATTGATATTGTAGAATTGATCGTTCATCTCGTTCGCGCAGCGCATCTTGTAATAATAATACAGACGAGTGCGATACATAATGCGCACAAGTATAATATTTGCATAATATTGTGTGTATGGCATATCTGTGTTTCGGGGGCGTACGGGCGCGAGGGCAGCGAGGCGCTGCGAGGAATCTCGACGCAATGACCGAGAGTCTAGTAGCGATCGGCGAAAAAATAAAAGCAATAATTTTTTTGCCCGTTGCTGTTACTGTTTGTACAACGCAGCACACATTCATAGAGAGAGAAAGAGAGATGAACGTGTCAGGTGCACATCTCTCTTGCGTGCACAGGTGTTGTCTGTGTATTATGTATAGAAAGAGATGATGGGAGCCCCTCCACGAAGATCGGGCGGAGTTTTCCTTCGGGCTGCTGCTGATGCTGCTGCTGCCCTTTTTCGATAGATATGCCTCTCTTTTCCCCGCGCGCAGCGCTTACTCTCTCAAGCTCGTCGGCGCGCGCGCTAAGCTATAAAATCTTCGACGTTCGCTCAAGCCCGCGCAATAGCATCCCATATAGCGTGGCACGTAGCTGTGGTGTTTGTCGGTAGCAGTAGTGTGTCGTTTTACTATAAAACTTGTGAATCGAGTGCGTTCCGATCGAATCCACCATGGCCAGAATCAGCGGACTCGTAAGTAATCTCCGAGCCGAGAGCTTGCGCCGACTCGCCCGATTCCAATTTCAAAAATTTGCTTTTCACACGCATGTATACGCATCCGATGCAGTTGCTCGTGGCGCTGACGATCGTCGTGGCCGCGACCGAGGCCCAGTACAATCCGTACAATCAGGTGGTGCAGCCGCGCTACAATCCGGACTACTACGGGCGCCGATACGCCATCCTCAGGCAGAATCACGTGCAGGACATCGACGGCCATTACGCCTTCAGGTAGAGTACAGGCTAATTCGAGTATTAAATTTGTAATATCGACGCGCGGAGTGGATTCTTTCTTAATGCGTTGTCGACACGCGAAGGGCCGACGAAATAATTGAAGGGGATGACGTACGTATACGTAACGATCGCCCACTGCGCGGATATAATATCATATTATCGAGTTGTCGAGTCTCGCGTAATTATTATACGAAGCGATCGATAATGATTTACGCCTTGTGTGCAATAATAATAAATCGGCGAGCGAGCTATGCGCCGTCGTTTCAAAATCGCCTGCGGCGGCAGCGGCTAATTTGATCGAGAACAATTCGAGACGCGCGTTAATCGTCCTCGTCGCGCCAATTAAAAAAAAATAAAACAGTAACTAATTGTTGCCTGTCTCTCTCTCTCTCTCATCCCGCGCTCGATCCGAAGTTACGACACGGAGAACGGCATCTCGGTGGCGGAGGAGGGCCGCCCGGTCAATCGGGGCCCCTACGGCCGCGTCGAGGCGGTGCAGGGCCGCTTCAGCTACACGGCGCCCAACGGCCAGCCCATCAGCGTGCAGTACGTCGCGGACGAGAACGGCTTCAGGGCGAGCGGCGCCCATCTGCCCACGCCGCCGCCGATCCCAGCGGCCATTCAGCGAGCCCTGGCCTACAACGCGGCTCACCCGGAGGAGGATCACGATCCCTACGCCAGGTCGAAGCCGTTCTAAGAAGATGAGGAAACGATGATTCGAAGGAGGAAGGATGGGAAGGAAGATGCCAATTAATTAATTAACTATCGATTAATAATACTCGTGCCTAAACTGAACAAAACAAAAAATGAAGAAAAATAATGTATATTAACCAAAGCTTCGTGGATGCCTCTGTTTAAATTAATATACAAGTACTGATGTCTCTGTACAATAATTTTTATAATACAAAATACATACTGATACCAATAAAAGTCTCTTTTGTAAAATCGAAACAATTCAGAAATGTGTGTGTGTGTGTGTGCACGCTTGGCTATGGCGCAACCGCATTGTATTATATATCCCCCTTTTTAATACACCCATCACACGGAGTGGAAAAATCGTTTTCTCTCTCTCCTACACGCATTACGCACTCTACTATCTATCCGCGAGTCGTGTTGCTATTTCGCGCTCATAATTGCGCGTAATAAGGGTCAAGTAAGCGCCTCGAGATCCTCCATACGTTCAATGGCATGAGATTTTTATTTCGTTGTTGTGTTCGGTGTGTATCCGCGGAGATAAGCATCTGCTGCCAGCCAGCCAAGGCATCCGTTTGTTTCGTGGCCACATCTTCCATTATGCGTTCTTTCTCTCTCTCTCTCGACAACTTGTTCACTCTCACTCTTTCTCGCGCGTTTTATATTATACGCATAACTCAAATATCGTGTACTATATGGTATAATAGCAATGAGGAACAACAATGGACTCTGCTATATGGCAATATCAATCAGGACGAGAGAGAGAGATGTACACACGTGTACAAGGTGCACTCGCGTCGAGGGAGTCAGCTGCTGCTGCTCGTCTGCGCGTCGAGTTGTGAAAGTTTAGCGTGTCTCGTAAATGGACCTCGCCCCATTGTCGACACCGGCGCAACTTATATACAGGCCTTTATAATGTCGTCAATCAACGCTTAGCGATCGGCAAGAAGCCTATGATGGGACTCGAGCTGCTCACCGTTAAAAGGTACTGTCTTTACCTGCATGTGCCGCCGCAGGTAGACGCAGTTTGTGCACGCACAGCCGTATAATGGGTTAATTAAAGAATTATTCAACGAGCTACGCGCGTCAAATGCGGGTACACTACAAGACATCATAATGGCTATCTGCGACCTTCTTCCGAGCGCGCGGGGAGAACAATGCCTCGCTTCTCCCATATATACATACATGTATACGCGCGCGAACGAGACACGATTATGCGCGTGTAATACATTTTTCGCGAGCGAAATTTTCAATTCTAAACAATTATTAATAAGGCAAAATTCTTGGGCGGGGTGTGCCTGCGTGCGTGCATAATATGCATTCCAACGAGATGATCCGCGCGCGTACACGTCCTTCCCTGCCCGTCATTTTTCTAATTCGTGTCTATGTGGTATCATCGCATACGTGTAAACTGCACAAATACAAGAACTCTCGACTACGTATGATACGTGCAGCGGAGATAACGCACAAACGCGCGCCTACCTTGCGTTATAAATCAAAATTCACAGCAGCACACAATATGACGAGTTACATACAGCGGGCATACATTTATTTATATTTATATTGTAAAACGTCCAGATCTCCGCGCGGCGACTCCTCCTTCGCATTTAGCCGATTATTGTCTTGCACACAGCTCTCGCGTAGCTATTATATTATACATGTGTGTGCGCTATGCCGTAATCGCGGGCCGGGCTAATAATAATATACATGTGCGGGATACAGGTACGCAGTCGAGGCATTATTTTATAGATGTATGTATATAGATGCGCGTCCCGATTTTGCACAATCGTCAGTCGCTACGTTCAAGTAGTAGATACAATATAATTATAATCTAGGCCTAACCATCAAAATTCGCAGCTTTTTTAAATACAAATATAACAATAACATAAATCAAAATCCGCCCTTCCCCCCGATGCACCATTAACGCAGAAAATAAAAATCTCCCAAACAAAAAATCAAAAAAATTTAAGCCGATAAGGAGCGCGAGATAATATACGAATCGACGGTGGAAAATATGACGCAATACCAATCGATGTTCTCGAAGCCACCGCTCGCGGACGACAATAACAACAACAACAACAACGGCAGCGGCAGCAACAGCAACTTCCAGCAAGTGACGTTCGGACAACTGCCGACGAGCTCCTTCAACAACAACGACAACAACAACAGTCAGTCCGAGTAACGCATAAGTAGTGTTAAGCGCGCGATATTCGTCCCTTTTTTGCCATTTTTCGCGCATTATACGTATTTACACGCGGCATTATAACGCACACAGATCAACACAGCCAATACGATCCGAACCGACAGCTCAATTACGCCTATCCATTGAGCGGCAACGCGGCCCACCTGCAGCAGCAGCAGAGTAATGTGCCAATGCAGGGGAACAATACAGGCTGTTCTCTGTTCGCCTCGCCCGCAACAACAATGCATCCACAGCAGCAGCAGCAGCATCTGCATCGATCAAAGTTATTAGCCAATAATTGGCGCGCGAGCTGAATCCCGGCCGATTCTGGGCCAGCAGCAGCAGCAGCAGCAACAGACTTTGCCAATGTTTAACTTTTTTTTCGTCTCGTTTTCTTCTACAGCTTCGGCAACAATCCGATAATGTGGAGCTGCGGGCAGGGCCTATCGCGTAGCCTAATCGATCAGATATGCGCGAGCGGCTCGACGCCTGTACTGATTCTGCCCTGCGAGACCAGCAGCAATAATAACAGCAGCAACGGCTCGTCTCAGCAGCCCAGCCAGCAGAGCAGCTCCAGCGGTATGACCAATTACTGCTGCTGCTGTTGCCGCATTCGCGGATTGTCGGCAGCTCCCACGCAGCTGATCAATAATTTTTGCGGTGAGTTGGAATAGCGTATCAAGTTACCGATCTCTTACCGATATTGCTCGCTTCCTCCTTTTCTTCTTCTTCGCGCCCGACTGTAATATACGATGATATTCAGCCTGCAAGAGTGACGGCAACGGCGTCATGATGCAACCGGAGCTGCATTTCAAGAGTAACACCAACGACAATAGCAATGGTTACGCCGCCACGTGGTTGCAGGCCGAAAAGACGACCAACCAGCAGCAGCAGCAACAACAGCAGCAGGCCGCGGCGGCCTCGCTCTCGATACAGCTGCAGGCGATCGTGTCGCAACTCATGGGCATCCAGGGCATCGCCGCGACCGTCGTCTGCAAGCTGCTCCTGAAGAACGTCGTGGAGGCCCGCGTCCAGGAGACGCCCGAGGAGCTGATGGACAAGGCCACACGTTGCCTGCACAGGCTGAGCCTCGAGCAGCTCGTGGAGGAGTCCAGGCGCTGTCAGGAGGTGGCGGGTCTCGTCCGAGTCTATCTGATCTGGGCCTCGAACTCGCCTCAGCTGATACCGATCCTGACGGGCGCCCAGCTGAGGATCAACACGATCAAGAGCTGCCTGGAGCTGCTGATCAACGCTCGAGTGGTGCAGGACCAGAGCGCCGGTGTGCAGCAGGGAGGACAGCAGCAGCAGGACAAGCAGGAGGAGCCGATCGACGAGGCCATACTCAATCTGAAGAGCAACGATGAGCTGCTCCAGCTGCTGGGCCAGCTGAGGGAGAAGGAGTGCCAGGAGAGGGTCAATCTGAGCTTCAATCAGCCCTACGGCTCGCAGAAGCTCCTTTACCAGAGGAAGCTGGACAACTGCCAGAGGAAGATACAGCAGATCGAGCGCGAGCTCAACCGAAGACGCGATAGTAATACAGTAATAAGTTTTCGCGTCGATGTTTTTTGCAACAATATAAGAGAGAGAAAAGGGCCCCGCCGCGGCTGGTGCCGAGGGGCTCGCGAAATATACTGATCGCGCGCGTTACGTCGTTTCCCCCCAAAACAGGTCCATGATTATCCGGGCAAGGAGCCGGTGACCAGGAGCTCGGAGGTGCAGCGGCCGACGCTGCAGGACCAAGACCACCGTGCGTACGATTTATTCGTGGACAGCGGTAGCGAGAGCAATTTCTGCGTGGAGAGGCCCAAGAGGCTGCTGCTCAAGCCCCACGTCGGCAGTCCCGAGACTACGTACGACCAGCGACGGCCCGAAGAGAACGTCTGCGTCAATTGTAACAACGGCGATTGCGACAACGCTAACAAAAACGACAACGACGATAACAATGACGATAACAACAGCGATGGCAAAAGCGTCGATCGAGCGCACGGCTAGAAACGATTAACAAAAAAAAAATGCAAAATCGATACGGACCATAAATCAAGAGGGTGATAATAAAATTGCGGCACTTTTGCAACACACACTTTTCGTCAATAAATAAATGTACACTTTGAAATAATCTTTTTTTCTTTTTTTTTTTAATTAAATAAAGGCCTTTTTAATTGGTGATTTATTAACAAAATTTATATGAAATAACAAGAGAGATTCGTTTACAAGTAGGAAAAACTTCTTTAAATGTATGCGACTTTTTTTTCTTAGGCTACAGTGAATAATGTTTTTCGTTTTACACGATAACTAAATAGGTCAATGCCTGACGACATTTGAAAAAATTTCAATTACATTTTATGTTTTGTGCGTGTACTCGGGGTAATGGTAAAAAATACCTAAACATAACGAATAGAGCGTCGTTTCATGCTTAAAAAATTCATATCGTGAAATTTTATAATTACAAAAAACGTTAAGAAATTCAGATTAGAAAAGTCAGTCCGCCTATATAGCTGAGTCGCATAAAATTCATGTATCAGATAATTTCATACTTTTCGCTCGTAAAGTTGCACCCATATAAGAAGTTCTGCCGAGCATACCTAGAGTCACTTTACCATATTAGTTAATCTTTTTTTTTAATAATTATGTACCTAATAAATTTACTAGACTGTCCCAACAATTTTTTGTTCGTTTGTTTTTTTCTCTCTCCTCTGGCCCAGATCGTTTTGTAATGCTCAAAAATATTGACCGCATACCAAAGATTTTTTTCTTCAGATTTAATATTCTTCTTAAATCTATTTTGATTCGAAATTGATCATTTTCCTTTTCATTATTTTTCATTTTTAGTACGATGTAGTGAATAAAAATCACATTTTGATATTTCTAAAAGTCACCTAAAACTATTGGAAATAAAAGTTTTTGTTCATTCAATCGATTGTAACTTTCAATGCATTATAGCTCTCGCAATTTTACGACAATCATTTTTTGACACAATGAACCTACGCATGGCGGGTGGAGCAAAAAAGCACGAAGTAATTTTGGGACAATCTAATTTTTATGTAACCATTTGCTGCGCGAGTTGATCGATCGTAAAGTTTACACAGATATATTTTTGCTTAGTAAAGGCGCAATAAATGCGCGTTGCGAGTATCAATGTAGGTGTGTAATGATCTGGTAAGTATCCTTAAACATGATTACTAACATTTTTAACACGTTTTTCTTTGTTTAACGGTTATTTCAACATTCATCTAATCTGTGAAAATTGAGCTTTGCGATATTAAGTAATTAAATATCATTATATTATATACAAAAATATTTACAATCGCACATGTACACTTAGTTCACGGTAAATAATAATTACTTTTTTTTTCTAAGAATAAATATGATTAATTTTCATCTATTACTCTCAAAGTAATGGATGATTGATGTAGTTCTTGTAATTGATTAAAATTTTAAAGGGTGCAACATTATTTTATAAGAATTTGTATTTGTAACCTGTTACCATAATTATTGGAATATATATATTTGTCTGGATTTACAAGAACTACCTCAAGATAAAACTTGTAAAATACATAATTGTTCGTTTAAAAACTGTCAAGCACACAACTCTAGTCACACAAATTGATAGTTTTCTCTGAGCGCAGAATTTAAGCTACGTAGATGCTCTGTACGTTCAATAAGAATAAAATATCATTCCAAACATACTTCAAGAACTGTATAAAAAATCACGATTTTTCGACAGTACATTTTGAGCCACTATCACCTTTTGAGTCACATAAAATTCTCAAAATAATTGTAATTTTAATTTAAAAACTTAGCTTTGTGCAGATCAGCTGATTTGTACCCATAAAAATTTAATAATCAGTTAGTAAAGCACATTAGATTTTTTTTTAGAAAAATATATCAACTCAATTATATTAAAACTAAAAATTAGAACAATTTTACTTGCGATTTTCTCTTATTGAAGTACATAGACTCTTAGAGCCGAAAGTCTTCAATAAAGTTCAGCAATAACAATATATTGCCTTTATCGATTGTGATTCGTAAAAATTTCACGAATCATCAAAATAAAAATAATTGAACATTGCACAAAATTAATTGTTTAACAATATAAGTGTAAGAACAACCGTCATGACTAAAAAGCTTTCGATAAAGTCGCGCCGACGAATATAGAATTTTTTTTGGGCGATTCAATTGAACTATTTAAACTGTGTTTGGTTATTTGCACGGTACTGACATTTATCTGTAGACTACAATAGAAACCGTTACAAAAGCCGATTATCAAAGTATAAATAATCCATGGGATGCAATTCAACATTTGCATCCGCGAGTCTTAAAATTGCACGTGTAAAAACGCTGCGTGATTACTATTACAATTATGCACGGGTTATGGAATATCACTTTCAATGCATATTGATAATGTCAAAGTATGGAATAACAGATGCATGATTATCACAAACGAAATGTCGCACACTGTATGCGTGATTTGAATACTATACCTCTTAGTAAATTTTCGTTCGTCTCGTTAAGTAGTAGCACTTTACGAAGCATTATTTTGAGTAAAAAAGTTCATAAACATACATCAACGTATTGTATGAGCATTTGCGTGCGTACGTGTAGCCGTTAATTTAAATCAAGAAATTTACATAAAATTATGTTTCTCGTATGAATCGAACTATTTCGATAAATGGCTAATGTTCAATTGCAAATACTCCTTGAATCAGGTCACCAAGTTATTTGTTTTTATATACTTAAGTGGATGAAACAATGAGATTCAGTTACCACTTTTGGTATACTCATTTTTCAATTGCCCAAGCTTGACTTTAATATCGTGGAAGTTAGGTCGTTTTTCTGGTTGCAAATCCCACGCCTAAGAAAAAAAATAGTATATTAGAATGAAATGATTTTTTTTTATTTTAATGAAGTTTAAAAACGGACCTGTCGCATTATATCGTACACTTCGGCAGGACACCCATCAGGTGGTTCCATTTTATAACCTTTTTCGACACATTTAACGACGTCGACCAGTGGCTAAAATAATCATAACGAATGTTTATTATTTTGAAACAGTTCCAAATAAAGATAAAATTATAATAACACGTACTATTCTTGGATAGGGAACTCTTCCAAACGAATAAATTTCCCAGAGGAGAATACCAAAACTCCACATATCTGATTTGTTGGAAAATTTCTGTAAAAACGTTAAAAAAAAAATTAGTAAATCAAGTAAATAAATATCAGCTACCTTACAAGAAAATAACTCACGTTATATTTTAAAGCCTCGGGCGCCGTCCACTTGATCGGTAGCTTTCCGCCGTCGAGGGAGAAGTTCTCGTCTCGCGCGAGACCGAAATCCGACACCTTGGCCGAATTGTCCTCGGCCACGAGGACGTTGCGCGCGGCGAGATCCCGATGCACCACGTGCCGCGACTCGAGATAGGCCATGCCCGCGCACGTGTCGTAGGCGAAATTGATCTGGTCGCGCTTGGAGACGTGCAGTCGGCCGCGCGACCTCAGATAATCGACGAGCGAGCCCTTGCTCATGTACTCGGTGACGAGGTACATGTGCGGATTGCTGAATACGAGGCCGAGCAGCTTGACGAGATTGTCGTGTATGAGCGAGGTCATGAGACTAGCTTCGGCGAGGAAGCGCTGGGCCGCCTCGCTGTTGTCCTTGAGCATCTTGACGGCGACGCGCTCGCCCCGATAGACCCCGAGGAGCACGTCGCCGAACTCGCCCTTGCCGATGCACTCGCGCAGCTCGAGCTCGTGCGGCTGTATGACCCAGCCGGCCTCGACGAAGGCCTTCGGGTCGACGCAGAAGTCCTGCTTACCCTGCTTGGGCAGCGACTTGGTCAGCTGCGTGCACAGACCGTCGGCGTCCTGCTCGTAGTGCTCGACCAGCAGGGCCAGATTCTCGAAGAACTCCTCGTCGTCGATGGTGAGCTGATTGCTCTTGTACTTGACTCGGTAGTGCTGCACCTTGCCCTGGTAGCACACGCACAGCGTGTAATCGCCCGGGAAGTTGGTGGACTCGCGCACGAGGAACAGGCCGTCTTCGCGCGGCCTCAGCAGTCTCTCGGCGGTCTCGCGCGATATCTTGCCGTGGAACCAGGGCATGGCGTTGAGCTTGACCTCGTGACGCGCATTATTACCCCCTTGCTGCTGCTGCTGCTGCTGTGACTGTGACTGTGACTGTGGCTGAGACTGTGGCTGTGACTGCTGGATCTGCACCAGGTTGCAATTGGAATTAGTGTTGCCGCTTGGACTGTTGGGGTTCGGCATCCCCGATAACTGGCTGGTCATGCTGTTGCCGGTCGGTTGATGTTGTTGTGTTGACGCTGAATTGCTGCTTGCACCGCTCGCCGGCGTTGTCCCCGTCGTCCCCGTCGTAGTACCACCACCGCCGCCGCCCCCGCCACCGCTCGTGGATGACATCGTCGACGATGACGTAGTCATGGCGAGGGCGGCGAGTACCGTTGTGTAGCTGCTCTGCTGTTGCTGCTGCTGTTCGCGATGGTGCTGCGTCGCGGTAGTGCTCGATGAGCGCTCGAACGAGCAGACGATGTGCGAGCTGGCGGCCACTATGTGCGACGGTATCGTCGAGTGGTGGTTCTGGTTGCCGTCGAGCTTGCTGCTCGCGTGACGGCCGGTGGCTGCTGCTGCTGCTGTAATGTTTGGATAGCTGCAACCTGCATTGTGGTACGTTGGCATCACTACTGTTGTTTCCTTGGATTTTTCTACCGTTTAGTGGAAAATCTGTCAATTGAAACAAATTCAAGTATTAGTTATGAACAATTTAAAGCAAATTGAAATATTTATACAAGTGACTCTTACGTATAATTCAATATGTTTTGCAGAATTGCATCTTATGCTGAGGATTAACAAAAAGAAACAGATTGTTAAAATCCTGATTTTAATGAACACATATATTAAGACTTATAACTTTTACAAATAATTTAATTTATTTTAAAGCGTTGCATCGTATGCTACAGATTAGCAAAAATAAAAAAAGTTGTTAAAACCTTGATTTTACTGAATGAACATTAGAACATGACACATATTTATATCTATGACTCTTACAATATAGTTCTATTTGTTTCAAAAAATTGCATTGTATGCTGAGGATTAACAAAAATTAAAACATTGTTAGAACGCTGATTTTACTGAGCTCATATTGAGACAATCACACATAAATTTATGATTACGTAGAAAATTTGTTTTCAAAGTAAATATGCAATTCAGAAATAGCCTTCACAATAGGTTTAAATAGCTTTAAATAAAATTTTGTTGCTTCATAAGTTATTTGCATTCAAAAAGTATTTTGTTATTTGCATAAGTTAAAGGTCAATAGCAAGGCCGATGCAAAAGAAAAAAAATAGTTTATCAAGCTTCAATGAGTATTAGTTTGCAGTATTTGATAAAAAAATGACACATCAATAATGCTTTGAAATACAGCAAAATATTTGTTTACAAATCTCTCATATTGCAAAATCATTAAAGTTAAGCACAAACATATTATCAGGGTCACAGACAAAAATATATATCCCCAATAAGTTTGATTTGGGCTTACAATAACAAGTCCGGTGCATGAGAGTATGAATAAACAAAACTGAGGAATGCAATTTAAAAAAGAAGAAGAAAAAAATCTCGGTAGAACGAGAGCGTATATATAACATATATCACCGAGTCACGTCATGTTATTTACCAAAAACGTGCGGAATACGAGAATAAGAGAGAAAGAGAGAGAGGAAGAGAATATACACACGCGCACGCATACACGCACACACTTATACATTGACTGCTACTGCAAACTTTGGCACGCTTCATGTCCTACGTTACGATTTATAAATAGTTTGCCGAATAAAAGAGCCAGACAAGGGGGAATCAAAGAAAAAAATCAAAAAAAGCGTGACTTTCTTTTTCCGATTGGCTCATTAGAGTCTCTCTCCGCTTATAATCTAGGACTTGCGAAAGAGAATAGCATGATTGCTAATATGTATACATGTATTATACATATCTGTATATGTGTATGGATGTACATGTTATATACACGCATCTGGCGCGAGAGATGGAGTGGAATGACGAAAAAAAAAGCAAAAAAAACGGGAATGAGGCATGTCGCGCGCGATCCAAGAGAGAAAGAGAGAGAGAGAAATGAAAGCAGCTAGAGAGCGTGTGCGAGAGAGAGAGAGAGAGAGAGCATAAAAAATCTGCGAGCAAATAAAGAGAGAGAGAGAGAGAGAGAGAGAAGACTACTACTACACAGCACTGATCATCAGAATGTAAAATAAAACTTGCAAATGCGAGTCTCTCTCTCGCTTCTTTTTACTTACTTACCGTAATAATCGGGAGGGTTTACGATCAGCCGAAGAAATGCCGATGTGCAATTTTCGGTATGTCTGTATGATAATAACTAAAGTAGGACGGCGACGACGGCGACGACGAGGATAACGCACGGACGAGCGTGTCAAATGATCAGCAACAGCGAGGAGACATGTCCGACTCTGTAAATTCGCTGCTGCTGGCGATGTTTATTTTGACGATGAGTCGATGGTAATTCATAAGTATCGAGTGTTGTGTATGCTCTCCGCACAACAGTTTATGTATAGTATAATATATATGTATATATAGTTGACTCGTTCACATGCACATCGAGGGTTCACTATATTATCATATACACGACGACGAGGTGGATAACAATCTTAAAACACTGCACACATTTACACTGACGGAACGAACGAACGAACGAGCGAGCGAACGAACGAACCAACACATACACACACACGGAGACGGAGAGACACTACTGCTGCACTGGGGCACAGACACCACAGGCACCAGCGGAGCAGAGCCTCGGCAGCACACGCACCAAACACTTGCGCCAATGTATGTTTCCAACTGTCCAAATAAGTACACACGCTATATAGGTAGAGACTTCGGAGCAGCGCAGAGCAGCAGCCGCAGCAGTCTATAGGACAGGCGCGCGCGCCGCGCGTGTGTATTATACCTATATATATTTATAGGATGTCGACTATGTATATTCCGCTGCTCCGCGGCCTCTTGTAAATGTAGGTAGAGGTATCCGCGCTCTGTCTCTTTCTTTTCTCTCTCTCTATATATATGTGTGTGGCAATCTACATTAGTCGGACGCGCCGCGCGCGCGGTGTACACACCCGCAACCTGTGTCGCCGCCCGCTGCCGCCACCGCCGCTGACTGCGAAAAGACGGAGCTCGCGATGTATACGATGCTACACTATGCTGTCACACTACTCATACACCGCGCGCAAAGCGGCGTGGGCGCGACGACAAATGCTATTCATATTTTTTCCTTCGTGTGCCGCCGCAGCGCGATGCAGTTCGAGAGAGATGCTGCTCGGCTCGTCGACTCAGCTTCTGCTGCCGCGACTGGGGATGCCTCATGCTCGCATACTTCGCCTATAAGACAGGATGGAGCATCGTTATCACGACGATGAGAGAATGAGAGAGAGAGAAGAGCGACGCCGGCCATTTTACACTCGTTCCTACTCGAATGATCACGCGGCTGGTCATTCGTACGATCTGCTAAGAATCAGTTTTACTGCGATGAATTTGAATGGCCGATCGAAAGAATCGGTGCCAACTTCGGAGCTCCGGATGACCGGTTTCGATGAAGAAATTTAAAACTCCCACTTTTCAAATAGATTTCTTTTATTTTTATTTTTCTTTCATAAATTATATATATTGCCTATGCATTATAGAATATAAAAATGTCTTTTACCACAGTCATTGTTATACATAGAGTGATATTTTTTTCATTTAAAATACATGTTCATTTTAAAGACCGTTCAACATAAAACTCCTCAGACTGCAAGAAAATAAATATATATATATATTTTTGTTTATAAATCTTGGACGAGTTATAGAGCTTTTTTTATCAACCACCGAACATAATACACATAAATGCGAGATTTTTACTTTAAAGCACTTTTAAGCTCGTTCAGCAGCATCGAGCCGATAACCATTTTTTCGCAATTAACGCAGACGCTTAAATTGTCCTTGACGCTCGTGTTCACGGTAACTAGTACCAGTGACTTGGACGCTAACGTTCGAGCGGCGAGCCTGTTGACAAAAAAGAAATTACACAAAATTAATTTCAAATCGTTCCATTAGAATAGAGGCGGAAAAATAACGTATTGCTGACTGACTTTATGTTCTCGTCGTCGTTGGAGACGACGGCTAGATTCGCAGCTTCCGCGATCTTTTGACACAGCGTCTTTTTGCTTTCCGCACAGTCAAACGTGGCAGTGTGCTCGTTCATGCCTTTGAGCTTGTCTTTTTCAGCGTTGAACATCGTTTCCGGGAGAAGTACGGACCTGATGATTTCGCCGATCGGCGCTTTGATCGCGACGCTACGAGATATCAGCTCGTCTTTGACGATGAAATCTATGTTGAACGACGCTGGCTGCGTCGAGTCGTTGTAGTTGATACCGATCGAACAAGACAGGGATGAGTTGGGTTGTAAAACTGGTACGGTCGAGAACTCGCAGAGGCTCATTCCAAGGGATAAATTCTAAATTATTGTAAGATATTAGATGTTTGTACTATAAATAATTGAATCAATAAATAGCGATGGTATAGAGCCAACCTTATTTCCAACGCGAATATCCTTGATCAATTCGTTGCTCTCGTTAGCCAACAAGAGTTCGATATTGACCAACGTCGAATTCATCAGATGCGGCGAGCGAGTGAATCGGTACTCCAACTTCAAGCCTCGGCCGCTGACTTTGTTGAGCAGCTCGTGCTTCTTGACGGGCACGAAGGAGCTCGAGACCTCTCTGATGCCGTCGGCGATCGTTGCGAAAGGAGTCGGCATCATGGGAGTGAGAAAGCCGCCCAAACTCGGCGTCATGATGGGCGTCATTGGCACAACTGCGAATAAACAATCGTTGTGAATCGTCGTAATTGAAAATCCTACCGCGCGAGATCGACTTACCCTCGTCTAGATCGAGCAAAAGATCCAAGTTACTTTTTGGCTGGGGCTTTTTCTCGACTTTGGCATCTGGCTTGTTGCTGCTCTTGCTAGCCGACGAAACTTTTGGCTTCGCCACTGCGGGCTCGCTGCCGGAATCTTCGGAAGAGGACTCCTCGCTACTGGACTCGTCGGAATCGTCCGACTCATCGTCGTCTTCCTCGTCGTCCTCGTCCTCGTCGCTGACTGCTTTTTTGTTATTGGATACTTTTTTCACGGTCTTTCGATCCGGAGTATCCTTGGACGCGGAGGATTCATCGTCCTCTTCCGAACTGGTACCGCTGCTGCCGGTGCTGCTGTCGCTGCTGCTGTTACTGCCGCTATCGGCGTCGTCGTCGTCGGAATCGTTGCTGCCGCTCTCGTCGCCGATGGAATTCTCATCGTCCGAAGCCTGGGGCGAGCTGTCCTCGTCCGAGTAGAAGTTCTTCTTCTTCTCGCGCAGCTTCTTGCTCTTTTTGTCGCCTTTGCCGCGAGCCACTCGGTCGTTCTGCAGGTCGAAGGTGACCGTCGGGTCGGGCACGTCTCTCACCGAGGAGTCGGGGGCGACCTCGGGGAACGGCGGCAACGGCCTGTAACCGTTGCAGGGCATGTCCAGATAGTGCGACAAGGTGCCCAGTTGAAACTCCGAGTCCTTCACGCGAGTCGTCAGCGTCGGAGCCGGTTTGTGAGCGAGGAAGATCTTTCTCGCTTGCGAGGTCAGGTCCTTGCTGTCGGCCTCCTGCTGTCGCTCCTCCTCGGCGAAGATGAAGAACTTCAAGAAGCGAGCTCGATCACGTATGTCGTAATTCTGATCGTACTTGGCAAGCTGGAATATGTATTGGCAAAATTTCGTCGTCTGTTCGGGATTGTTGAGGTACAGCTTCACGGCTAGATTCAGGGTCTGCAGCTTGACTATGTCCTCCTCGTTGACGAAGGTCTTGGCCATTTTGCGCAAGACGTCCGGAGCGATTTTTGGCACGCGATTCGAGTACTCGCCCAGGAGCCACAGGATCGAGGCTCTGGCTTGAGGCACGGTAATGAAATCCATGAGTTTCGCCATGTGAGCTATTATATCCTTGTGCTCGTTCGGCTGAGTTTGGAGCAATTTCTTAATGACGACTACGCTCTCGGCCACTACGGTTTCTGTTACACATAGAAAATGCGTGTTGATACTTGGTGTGAAAATTGATAATAAATTGTCAACATTTTTGTAGCACTTACCATCTCTGTTACTCAATAACGAGACTAAACCATTCAAACAAGTATCAGTGACTTCTTTTATGTTACTCGCACAGCGTCCGATAGCTTGAATACTCGCGCCGACGAATTCCTTGTCACTGCTTGATATGTAAGTTTGGAATTCCCTCAAAATTACTCCGATGCTCGTTTCGGTCGCCAAGTTCGTGAGTATGTCCAGCTTGAGTAATTTGATGTGAGTTGGATCGGATGTTCGGACGAAAAACGATTTCAAATACGGTTCGAACATTCCCTAAAAATAAAAAATGGGCAAGGTGTAACAATTTTCACTAGCTTCCAGCTTTAATTATGATTCACTTAGCTTACTTTTCTAGAAATTGATATGCTGGCAATGGAATGCAAAACGACGCTCTGCACCTCTCTGTGTCCTCTCAGTAAACGAATAAGGGCCTTGGAAGCGACAACGGCCTCGGCCAGTGGTGCTGCGTGGTAGTACAGCTGAGCTACGGCCATTACGACTGCCGAGTTCCGACTTTGCAGCAGTGGTTTCGTGTTTCGTAAGAGCAAACGATGATCCAGATCGAGCGAAAATTTTGGTTTCATTGACCCGGACGCGTCAGAATCGGAATCGTAAAATGGTCTTTGATCGTCGGCGTCGAGATCCTTGAAAAAAAAAAAACGTATTGATAAGATCAATTGAATTGGGTAATTTAGTTTTACAAGTGTCGTATAAACTTACATCCATGTTTGGATTTACAAACTGAGTTCGAACATATCTTGTCAACATATTGACTATAATAACTTGACCCCATTCATCTACATCCACTAATAAATTGCACAATTTCCTATAATTCTTATGAATAAGGTCAATTCTATCTGGACATATTTCTTCAAAAGCCATCACTGCTGATCCTACAACTAAAGTAGTCTTATCAGACAGCAACTTTTCCAAAACGCTTACAAGCTCCTCTTTTTGTTCAGAATCTAGAGAGTATAATTTGGGAATGGCATGAGCGGCAGTTTTTCTTACATATGGAGACATGTCACTTGCAGAGTCTTTAATGGCAAGCATCACTATTGGAACAATCATAGGCACTCGAATACTGGAAAGAACTCTTAGAGCACTGGCTCTGATCAACTGATTAGGATCCTTCAGAGCTCTCTGAAATGTAGAAATGGATAAGAGAGCCAGGTCTTGTTGATCCTCTGCATAGCGCACCAAGTACACGTAAACCAGTTTCTTGACCTCAATATTTTTGGATACTACATTCTTGACCACTGCTGGAAAGAGATCAGAGGCATCTTTGCCTTTGGCTACCATCTAAAATTGGATTTCGTACTTAAAACATTTGTAATAATCTCACATCTTAAAAACATCAATACATACACCAATGATCCTTTTCATGGCTTCGAGTTTCATGCCATCTTTATTGCTGTCTAGCATTTGCTTCAGATCATCGTGCCTATACATCAAAACATCAAATAATGATATAGACATTCGAAAAAGCTGTCAAAAATGTGCTAAAAGAAAAACCAACGAACTTTTTGTAATCGGCATGAAAGAATCCACCGGACACGAAGTCGGTGCCGACCTCGGGCTCGCCCGCGGCCCCGGCGTTACTTCTCTCGTTGCTGTACGACGATCCATTGTTGGAGAGCGTGCTCGAAGCCGACGTCAACATGACTGCGGCGTGCAGATCTTGTTTACGACTCACTGGCTGGACAGCTCGCTTCGCTGGGCAGAGAGTCGAAGCACTTGTTACGATCAGCACACGAACTTGGTAAACATTTCATCTGGAACGGTGAACCTCAAAAGCAAGAGTATGTGTTGTTTCGCGTACTTCGTATACGCGAAGGTGTGTGCGATGCATGCAGAATCTGGCAGAATCCGCGGCGAGAGACAGTATGCAACACATTCGTACACGAGTGTAAGCGTGTGTTGCCATCAATCCTGGTCGATGGCCAGCCTATCAGCTGATAACGTGACGTCACGCGACGCAGACAGCGACAAACTTTTCGACTCGCGCACACACAGGCGTATATACATAGACACACACAGTAAGCACAATGAGATCCCGTGACCTGACTTGTGATCGAATGTGGAGTAACATGAAAACTTAGTCGTGTAAGTACGGTGCATCACTCAACCACTGGCTCGCTCGCTCGTCGTAACTATCCTGGAACGGTGAAAAATCCGTCGTTTACATTTTGTTATAAGTGCACAAAGTCCAAGCTTTAATCATGGCAGACCGTGCCAATATTAAGGACATCATTCCAGCTCTGCCTGATGAAAATATTGGTGAGTAAACGTCAAAGTCAAACATTAGCCACTCCCAGCCATTAATTTTTTTCGTTTTTCAATGTTTTTTTATTGGAATTACTTGTGCATTGGAAGTGAAATTTACCATTTAATAATTGCCCATATTTTATAATATCAGATATGCTTGCTGCTACCAGCATTTTGCAACAACAAGCTGCAGACATCAGAAACCAACGCATCAACTGGCAGTCGTATTGTCAGTAAGTAAACCTGCAAATGTCATTTGATTTACTGTACAATTAGTGTCCATTATAAATTTTTTGTTACTCTTTAAGGTCTCAGATGATTTCAAGGGAGGATTTTGATTTCATAAGTGCTTATGATGTTAATGATCCTGCTGCAAGAGAAGCTAAATTAAAGGAAAATCCAGGACAAGCTGCCAAAACTTTTCTCAATCTGCTTGGTCATGTGTCTAAAGATCAAACCATCCAATACATTCTCACTCTCATCGATGATATGCTTCAAGTTAGTATTTCAATCTAATTGATCATTATGTTTTTATCTAAAAATTTCACGTGCTAATGATATGTTTAATTTGATAACAGGAAAGCCGCCAACGTGTGGAAATTTTCAGAGAACACTCAAATCGTAAAAGGGAATCAGTATGGGGTCCATTTCTGAATTTGTTAAACAGACAGGATGGATTCATCATGAATATGACATCTCGTATTATTGCAAAGTTAGCATGCTGGAGTCATGATCTAATGGAAAAAACAGATCTTCAATTTTATCTTACTTGGTTGAAAGATCAATTGAAATTGAGTGTAAGTTTATAATTACAATCATATAGTAGTTTAGTACAAGGGTTATTGTGAAGGTTTAACAAAAAAGTTTAAATTTACAATTTTACGTTCATTAGTCTCTACCAATAGTTGTTTCATCTTTTCCAATGCGCTTTTTAGTTGCATGCTTGTAAAATAGCTTTTGGTTTTTTGTTCTACTAACATTACTAAAAGTTGTACTTTACTTTTTAATTTTTATTTAGTTTGATTTGACAGAACTTTTGACAGACCAAAGATTTGACTGTTTAAATGCCATTAAATAGCTTCCAAAATCATAATTACAAAATAATGGTGCTTTGTTTTGTCAACATGATAAAACTTTAAGGATTATTCAGAAATGAATATTCTATCATCTATTGATTTTTCTTCAATGTAAATAGTCAAAATTAATAGAACAGTGGGTACACTACGATGTGATACCCAAAAAGTGGAAGGAGAGTACAGTTAAATGTGTGCTTTTTCCTATGCATAGATCCAGCCCCTTATGTGTTGCTTTTTCACATAAATGTGAATTGAATCCTTCTTTTAAAACTTTTGATAGTAAAAAGTGAGTTTTCTAGTTTGAGGCTCTTCAGGAGAGAAGTATGCATGCTGAAATAGTACAGGAGACCAATACCACTGAAGCTGGAGAGACTAATGAGTTACATGAAATGCTCAACCCGGTTGGTGAAATGCATCTCCCTGTAATTTTTAAAAGACATCCTTAATATATAAAATATACAAAATGAGCTATTTGAATAATTGATAAAAATTTACAAAGCACCTACATTGGACAAATTACGATAAGAATTTCATACTATTAATTATCATTGACATTCTATTGATATAACAACTACTTTACTGTAACTATGATTTTTATTTTATTTTTTATTTCAATTAATATTTTTTTCTTTATAATTTATTGGTATTATTATTTACATTTATTTGCTATTTATTGTAATTTTATTGTAGATTGAACGACATTTTCAAAATTACTAATAACTTGGTTTTTTTAAGCAAAGTATTATAATGAAAATGCCTTGGTAATGCATGTTTGATGCATCTACGATTGGGCACATCAAAATATTTTAATATGAATATTATAAAATGATTTTTAGTGATTTAGGTAAAGGCAGTTGAATATGTACTTACACTTTATTTATTTTCTCACAGAATAATGATTACATTCAATCAGTGGCCAGGTGTTTGCAAATGATGCTTCGCATTGATGAGTATCGTTTTGCTTTTGTTTCTGTTGATGGAATATCAACTCTTTTAAGTGTTCTATCTGGAAGAGTTAATTTCCAAGTTCAATACCAACTGATATTCTGTTTGTGGGTACTTACTTTCAATCCATTATTGGCTGAAAAAATGAACAAGTTCAATGTCATTCCCATTCTGGCTGATATTTTGAGCGACTCCGTCAAGGAAAAAGTAACAAGAATCATCCTTGCAGTATTCAGAGTAAGTCATCAGCATTATCATTAAAAATATTCATAGTATCTTTTTTTAATTCTTTTGAATAAGCAATTAATTCAAGCAATTAATTTCATTTTTATGTAGAACTTGATTGAAAAAGTGGAGGATTCTCAAGTAGCTAAAGAACATTGCATCGCTATGGTACAGTGCAAAGTACTGAAGCAATTGTCGATCTTGAGTCAACGTAAATTTGATGACGAAGACATAACCGATGACATCGAGTTTATGAACGACAAGCTTCAGGTCTCAGTGCAAGATTTGAGCTCATTCGATGAATATGCCACCGAAGTTAAATCTGGACGCCTGGAATGGTCGCCTGTGCACAAATCCAGCAAATTCTGGCGTGAAAATTCAAGCCGCTTGAATGAGAAAAATTATGAACTTCTTCGTATTTTGGTTCACTTGCTTGATACCAGCAAAGATCCTTTGGTATTGAGCGTCGCATGTTTCGACGTTGGAGAATATGTTAGACATTATCCTCGAGGAAAGCAGTAAGTTGCTATAAATTTTGATGATTATGATATATTACGTATTGCGCATTTTTAAAAAAAAATTTGTATATTAGCATTATAGAACAGCTTGGAGGAAAGCAGAGAGTGATGCAGCTTTTGAGTCATGATGACCCAAATGTCAGATACGAAGCCCTTCTGGCTGTACAGAAATTAATGGTGCACAATTGGTATGAACCTATGATCACAAACCTATTGCATGCAAGCTTAACAGATAACAAGTAGGTTGCATGTATTTTTTTAAATACTTTTAGGGAATACTTGGGCAAGCAGTTGGAAAAAGAACAAACTGGTACTTCTGGACCAGCAGGATCCAAAGCCGGTCAGCAAGTTCCTGCTAAAGCTTAAACTCTTATCATATTATATACAAAGTGTTGAATTATTTATCTCATAAATCAATAAGGGTTCTGCTTCCGAGAATACCACAGAGTTATTAAACAATAGAGTTCGGAAATTATGCAATAGCATAAATTGTTTGAGTACATTGAATTTTAAAAATTCCTGATTCGCGCTTGATTTTTTCAGATTCTTAACTATACTTTCAATCATAGCGTCATTTTAAGTTTCTGCTCTGATTCATTATCATTTTAAAAAGAAAATCTTTAAAAATAAGCACCGTAATCAAACATGATTCTATAGCTTCTAAAAAGTAACTAGCTTAATTTTTTTCATTCTAAATGAGTCTATTAAAGAGTCAAGTTAGATACTATATTCAAGAACCACTGATTTATATGCAATATGTACATATTCTCATGATTGTTATTTAAAATTTAAAACAATTTATGTGTATTAATGAAAATAAAAAAATCTATTATCAAGAAATATATAGTATGATACAAAACTATTTTTTATTAATAATTAAAATAGTAACTTTATTATACATAAATCATTCGTCATCACTTTGGCGTAATAACAACAATTATTTTTAAAAAATTTCGGCTTATACGTCTTTGAAACCAAGTTTGACGTTTATATTACATGCGCCTAATTGGGTAACCAAGTATTTGAAAATGTAGGGAACATCGATTTCGGCGAGATCACCGTCGTCCTGGCACAATCTACACCTTGCTTTGAGTTCCCGGTAGCCACTATCAGTCGTCATATATTCGACGATTGGTCCGATTAAGGTTCCACATTTTTTACATGCTACCACCTAAAAACAAAATAAACTCATCAATCTTCATTGTTCCTCACGTGGATAGATAGATAAAGTAAATTATAGTACTAACCGTTGCTTTGTCGGAACAATTGAGCAGCCTGTCTTGTAACAAAAATGAGCAACCGTGAGAGATCAAGGCGTCACGTTCCATCTCACCAAAACGAACGCCACCACCTTTGCGTCTTCCCTTGATGGGTTGCCGGGTCAAGACGTCAATTGGACCAGTACTTCTCACCTGAATTGAAAAAGTCATTAATTAGTTTCGAAAGTAGATCGATGATTTCTCCGAAATTGAAAGTCATTTGATACTGACCTGCCACTTATCGGACACCATGTGACGTAGCCTTTGATAATGAACTACTCCAAAGAATATTTCTGCCTTCATTTCTCTGCCATCGACGCCGGAATACATTGTCTCTGTGCCATAATAATTGTAACCACCTTTTTCGAGAAGTTTGCCAAAGTAATCGATGGCTGTGTTATCCTCGGTAAACCTGAACGGAGTCGCGTCGTGTGCCAAGCCATGAACCGCTCCCGATTTTCCTGCCATGATTTCGATCATCATAGCAATTGTCATTCTACTTGGGAAACCGTGAGGATTGAACACGATGTCTGGTATGAGGCCAGATTCTGTAAATGGCAAATCTTCTGCTGGGCATTTTTGAGAGAAGATACCTTTTTGACCGGATCGAGAAGCGAATTTGTCGCCGACACTTGGATTACGCTAAAAGATAAAAATATGATATAATCATTTGTTCTTTTGAAATTTTAAACAAAAATATTCGTTTTCTCTATATACTCACTGGAACCCTGAAAGTTATGCAAGCTTTACGATTGCCGTTGCTTGATAATGTTCCACACATTTTTACATGATCCACAACAACGTCTTCCGTGCCTTTATATTTTCCAACGCGATAGCATTTTTTATCTCCGTCGAAATAAGAATAGTAGGGATCACCGCCTCGAATGATTCTACCCGAGCTAGGTAGACCATCGGCATCTAATTTATCAACGAGACTTTGATTACTTGGATCCCTGTAAAAGTAATCGTCCTTCGATTCCAGCTCGATGAACTCTGATTTATAAATACAGCCATGGGCGAAGCCTCGCTCGAAGGCGGATTTGTTGATGATCATGGCGTCCTCCATATCGTAACCGGTATAAGAGATAACGGCTAATATGGCATTGGTTCCCATCGCGAAGTCGTCCAAATTTATATGGTCGTGATGGACCGGCCGGAACAGCGGAGTAGCCGGGGTTTGCAAGCGATACAGCTTCGTCTCGGATTGTTGCTGCCAATTCAGGACTGGCGTGCCCATGGTTTGTTTACCCATCTGACACTGATACATGTTACGAGGACTCTGATTGCAATCGGGCATGGGAATCAGATTGGCCAAGTTACTGAGGAACGATGTTTTAGCGAGCTCTTGATGTGTGGTAAGCTGAAATGAGAAAATTGCATTAAATCTAGTTACTATTTCATCTTAATTATCTTAATAAAATTAATGTTTTATAAAAAAATCTAAAACTTACCCCTTTGTATGCCTCTTCTGCTGTGATACATATTTCCATATACACTTGTTCGAACGTTCCAATGTATTCTATTTTATTGACAGATAAATTCATTACGGGTCTCATCATTCTAGCAGGGCCAGTAAACAAAAAGATGCCAGCATATTGAGATGGGACAGATTTTTTTGGTACCAAGACGATTTCCGTTGTAGAAGGAATCTATTCACGTAAAAGAATTCATTTTTAAAACTCATGATAATAATTATTTCGAATAATTTCAATTTTTTACACTTACGACATCGTTTATTTTTAAAACGCGCATTTTATCGACCACTCGTCCAGCGATTTTATCTTCAATTAATCCTATGACTCTCCCGTCTAAAAGTACGGTATACGAGTTTTTCCAATCATCTTCTAGCGATAGAGGACACATTCCCAAATCGACCAATTTTTCTTCAATGATCGCTTTTTGCTTGGGATCGGGATGTTTTGTAACGATGCAGTTCATCGTCAAGTGATTGAGCAGACCGCAAGGCGTTCCGTCAGGAGTATGGACAGGGCAAATAAAACCCCACGCGTCGGGAAGAAGCTGTCTGGCATCGGTCGTTCGCATTTCTTGGAAAAACGAACCTCTATGAATCGATCGGAAATGACTCATGTAGCGCATTCTGTTGATGTTCTCGGCGACAATGGTTAAACCTTTATTTTGCATTAAACCTAAACCAGACTTAGATGTCACATTTCCAGTTGATAAAAAATTTTCCATGCCTGAATCAATGTTACCACATTTCTTTAAGGCATTCACCATTTCCGCTGAAAAGTAAGCATGCAGTCATGAAAAGAGAAAATTGAACAATACTAATACATCTATAAAAATTACTTACCAGTATTAAAAACAAAGGCATTTCCGACTTTGCTAGCTCGTTTTGCAATGACTAATTTCAAAATATTAAGCCATACAGATAATCTTTCTTTTAAAACTTGCAGATACAAATGACCACCTAACAAACACTCCTGCATCATGACAGCATCAGCACCTTCTACAACACATTTGTCATTTGCAAAGGCAAATAATTTTCTAGTCATATAACACAGAAGGTTGAATTTGTCTGCTGGATCATCAAGATGTATGCAAATACAGTTTCTGAGAAAAAAATGTAATGTGTTATTTATATACTCATTGACAAAGCCTTTACAAATAATTTTAATATAAATTATGCTATTAAAGCTACCTACTTTATTATATAATCACAAACTTCAACGTCCGTGTAACTTTGTGGAATTTCATACATTTTAACTCTGAACATTTTGCCTATGTATGCTTTGCATTGTTCATTAGAGTGTAAATTTTGTTTATGCAATTCGCGCATCATATTACTAATACAATTGCTAAAATACACATCATCTTCACAACCAGCAGTAAGTTTATTGTGTAGAGTAATATCTGATACATCCATTAAACATTTTAGAATCAAAATTAATGGCACATAGTAGAGTACTCTATTGTGACTAAACATAAGTTTAGTACTTCCATCAGTAACATAATGCAAAGTATTGTTCTGAAAAAAATTTTATCAATCATTCAAGTTTATGTATGAAAAATGTATTACAACTCAACCATCAGAAAACTTACCACTGCTGTATTGTCATCCCTCACGCTTCTAATTAAAACACCCATATCTGTGAAATTGTCACCTCGCTGTTTCCAACCAGATCGTTTAACTGCAATGGGATAATTTCTTCTAGTCATTAGCAACATTCTGATAAGTCGCTCATGCCCTTTGACAACAAAATAACCACCAAATTCTTGTTCATGTTCCTTTGCTTGAACTAATTGTGCAGGTGACATATTTTTCAAATGACACCGGTCAGACTGATTTGGAAATAAAAGATTGTTAGTTGACAATTAATGACAAGAAAAATAAAATCATGAGACATAATAAATACCTTGACCATTATAGGAACTTCTCCTATACATTTATCAATGGTTTCTATGTATTTGCCATTCATACTCCAACTAATTCTGGTGTTAATTCTACCTTTGTACGTAGCAGCTCTTTGCCTACATTCTGTGGGGTACACCCTATGGTTTTTGACCCCCAAAGTACCAGGTGGCACAGCGGGAGAATCAATTGTTACACTCTCATACTTGAATTCCAATTTAGTTCCATTGGGCAGTGTGTAAAATACAGGTTGCATTGTTTTCACTGCTTCAACGAGTCCATCTCCGACTGCATAATTGAACGAATCCACGTGGGGGGTGCCCAAATTTTGCAGCAGCTAAAATTGTAAAAAAACCCATCATGTTAGAATTATAAGCATTAAAAAAAAATAAACGTCAATCACAACAATGATTCACAGAGGTTAAGAGTTGAAAAACTCACGGGATTTAATTTTTTTGCCGGTTTGCCGAAATCCGGCTCGGTGTTCGTTAATTTGGGTTCGGTCAACATGTTGTTGTTTTGTTTATAAGCCCGTCGAGACGACCGGCCTTGCGTACTAATTGTTCACTTCGATTGTTAAGAAAATCACTGTCAAAATTTCCAAAAAAAAAGTCAAGAGCCAAAGAGAAAATTGTCGCCTCGTGCAGCGTGCGTTATTTTGTCTGCTACTGTCCTGCAGACCACGTGCAGCATGAGTATTGTGCGGCGTCCGCGTGCCGTCAAAGCCGAAAGTTATTGGCCTTATCGTTAGATACATGGCCTGCAGGTGGCGTTGGTAACAAAAAAAGTTTTTTGGAAAAAGCTGCAAGTCGTGACGACTCGTGTCCGAGGGTAATGAGATAATAACATTATCCAGACATGAGCACTAAACGCGCTAAAGTTCGAATCTAATCGCATAGATTATCGACAAGCGCAAAGCCCTAATTATTCTTAGTTGCGACAGGAACTTTATAGCATAGAATCAATTAATTAATGTAAGAACGTACATATTAAAAGGTATGTCAGCGCGCGTAGAGTTAAAGATGCGATTCTGCGCACTCAATTTTTCAAGTCATACATTTTAATTTTCATTCATAAATTTACTTCATTGAGAGTATATTTTGCGTTACTCGAATAAAATAAGTTAATTTTTCTGATTCGAGATAAAATTTTGACACGGTTATAAAGGAAAGTAGGTGCAACCATCCACAATTGATCGAAGCGTTTGAGTGTCTGACGAAAATTCTATTGCGCGGCGGATTAGAGAAAGAGCCGCCCCAACCCAAACTTTCATTTGCCGCTCGCGAGCAATTCGAAACGCATTTGGATTGATAAAAGTATTAAGAAAATGAAAAAACAATTATGAAGGCATACTTGTAAAGAAATGTAGAAAACATTTTTTGGTTCAAAGTAAATTATTAAATACTTCTGATCACATTGGTTTTTTTAGATAGAAACATATTGTTATTACCTATCAAGTCTCTTATACAAAAATATATAATCAGTATTTCAGAAAATTTATCAAAATCTTTCACTAGCTCGTGTTCGATTCATCTAAAATCTAGTTTCAAGCAAAATGTAAAAAAACTCTAGGCTATTCGTTGCTCGGGCAGCTACAGGTGAAGAAAGTAGCCAAAAATAAAATGCCATTATGAAAGTCAAAGGTGTAATGATAGTTGAAGGCCCGACGTTTAGCTATTACACAATCATTTCCGCACAGTTTTCATTGAAATTTTAGAAAAACATCTATGACGCATATCTATACATATTTACAATCGTCGATCATCATTTCTTCAATTCAATTGTCGCTTGCTTAATCTTTGCAACTTTCGTGTACTGTCCTTTGGTGCTTCAACAATGTTGATGGTAGAGCAAATGTCATTTTTGTCCGAATTTTTTTCCGCACTTGTCGCACGCGTAATCTTTGCGTCCTTCGTGGACTATTATTTGATGCCTAAAGAAATGCATTTTTTGGATGAATTGGTTGGCGCGATTGTCACATGGGTACAATTTGCAACCTTCGTGTACTGTTTTTTGCTGAAAAAGTAAATTCTTTTTATTTCCAAATTTTTCTCCACACTTGTCGAATGCGCACTTTTTCGCACGTTTTATGGCTTTTTTCATCTGGAGAGACAACATTCAAACTAATTTGATTTTACTATAAACATAATCAATGTTTGAGCGATTATTTCAAATTTTATTCACTTATATATTGTGCTTAAAATATTTGAACCAGTTGATAATGTAATGGATATTCAGTATGATGAAGCAATTTCAATTGATGGAAAAACTGTATATTTTAAAAATGTTAAATGATATTTATTATTTCAAAGATACTCTGAAAAGTTTTCGAAAGATATCAAAGAACTCAATCTACCAATAAAACGTAGGACGTCAAAAAAAATCAAATGGTATAGTGCTAAGAAGGCGGATAATGAAGGCAATAATAATGTCGAGTCTGGGATAGCTAGCTAAGTTTGGTAGAGGTCATCGAAAATCTAACATTACACGTGCAAAATCAAATGCAAGTCCTACAATAAAAGATGTTTAATTAAGTTTTGATGATAACAAAAGAACTCAACGTAGCAAAAATACTGTTGAAACTGAGGCCGATTTTAACAATTTTTTTAGATCTTCTGTTCATTAAAAAATGTCCATGAACTTGGAAAGTAACTTTTGGGAAATGCGAAGAAAAAATGCTGAATACAAAGTAAACTCGACACAATTTACAATCACATAATAATTTGGGTTGGCAAAGTGACAATGAGAAACCAATAAGTAAATCTTTTACGAGCGCAGATTACTATTTTCAGCCTCTTAACTTAGAATTTCAGTCAAGATCAAATAAAGAAAATCTTCAAAAAAGCTCATAAATTAAGAAAAGGTTCTTTCACGGACCAGAGCGGAAGACTCGCCTGTCTCCGTCGAGTGCTACCGCCACCACCATGAATAACCAGCACTGCTGTGCAGTGTGCAGCCTGCTCTGATGCTGGTCCGGTGCGCTATTTATGTCATATCGATTCTCGTGTGATATATTTGTTAATGCTTCCTCACTGAGGATCTTTCAACTTTCAGGCAAAAATTAATAAAAAAAAACTTATTTATTAATTACAAAGTGCGATCGGTACACAATACTTCTACTGTTCCTGTTTTTCTTTATTGACGTTCACAGCTTACACCTTCAATGTAGTCTTATGCGAAAATATCGCAACACGTGTGCTCTCTCTCATTTCTCAAATGATTTTGACAGTTGATACAATGCACAACTTACGAAGAATAACAGAAAGCGATTCTGATGGCTCTGTTATTTTCTGAATTTAGACTTATCTTTTTAATTTAATTTTAATATAATTTTAAAAACAAGATAGTTTTAATTGATAATAATAACAAAACAACTTTTTATCTTGAAGTTCACAATGAAAGACACAGATAAAAATGCACTGAATATATATGGACTAGAATTTCAGGTGATAAGCTTTTTAGACGCATGCTTTAGCTTTTATTTTTCAATGAAAACAATAACGACAATTAAGTGATGATTTTAAGACAGACTTGAGCTTTGGCAGCTCAAACAGCTGAAACCGACTAAGTTCGTTTTTTTTGTTGGAATTCAGTCTCTTAAATTCAGTAACAACCAAGTACATTTGGTAGAATTTAGTGAAGGAACAGGAAATTTAAAAACCCAAGTATTCTAGCATCTTATTTGAGAGATATGGTTGATGCAAGCATCGCCCACTCAAGTCGATAAATTTATAACTTGTTACAATTCTTGGTATAGAGATCATGATGAAAAAGTATGCTTTGTTAACAAACTTTCATTGTAATTAAATTTTTTCCAAAGATAATACATGTCAAATGAAAGGAGCTCTCTGGAGTATATCCAAGAACAATGATACAAATGTTATAATTCCATTAGAAAAATTAGCAGATATTGATACTACGCCATATAGAAATGAGCTTGAAACAATAACTTATCATCTAACAAAAGCTGCTTCAGTTGTAGCAAATAATTTTGTTTTGTAGGATCTGAATTTCAAACCTCAAGTATGGATCAACATGTCTTTGTTAGTAAAAAATGAACTTAAAATTAAATCTTTATATTAAAATGATAGGTGGTAACAGTTGGAACTCTAACAAGCAGAAGACAGCCAAAATTTACAAATGGAAAATGGAATCCTTATCATCTTATGGATCAGTTTGTCACTTTGAATGAAAATTCTGTTAAATGCTGAGATTTTAGGGATCGGAAAGAATGTGCTTGGATAATTGCATTAGCGCATTCTCAAACAATTAGGTAGTTTCAAATAACACTTTTTAAAAACCTGAAAAAAATTTGTTTTCAATGAATAAGATATAGTATATTTATTACTACCTAGAAAATTCTCATATTAAATGTTAGAGATTTAGATTTTAATACGCTTAGACATTATTTGGCAACATGTGGAGATGATGGATTCATGAAATTTTGGGATGTTCGTAATACAAATGAACCTGTTTTTTAACGAATGGAGCACTCTCATTGGGTGCGGTCGTTTTGGATTAATAAATTTCATGATCAATTAATATTGACATCCAGCAGTGATTCAAGATTAATTTTAAGTAATGTTGCTTCAATTTCTTTAGAACCTTTTGACCAAATAGTATCTGAAAAAGATACCACAATGGAAGAAACTTGTACAAAAGAAAACTGGGTTGAAGAAAAAAAAATTGCGATTTAAAATTTAAACAAGAATACAAATTAAAAATATGACCAATTTTATGTTCTGTAGATTGGAAGATGGAGTGCTGGCAAAATATGAAGAGCACGAAGATAGTGCTTAAGATGTTGAATGGTCTGCAGCAGATCCATGGACTTTTGCATCTTTGAGTTATGATGGTAGATTAATTATTTATAGAGCACCTCAGAAGTATAAATACCAAATTTTATTATGATTATAAACATTACAACCTATTTACAGAAATCAACTGTTGCAATAAAAATTAAGACTAATTTAAAGACTATATTATGATAAATAATTTATAGAAATAAACTATTGCTGATTTTTAACATGTTATTTGATAAAAAATAAGCAATTATTCAGCTTAAATTTATAACATAGTTGATAATTTATAAATAGTTCCACAGTTTAGAATTTTTCTACCATTCTACTACTAATATTTCTAAGCTGTCCATAAACTTTAGCTGGAGGAGTTCCTAAAATCAAATTACAAATTGATCTTCTAGCTATTGCAATATTTTGGAAAGATCCTAAAATATGAATTTTAGAATCTGCCAAAACGATTCTTGTTTTTGTGGTGTTTTCAATGGTGAACTTCGTTCGTCCCATTTTTCCAGCTAATCTACCAATAGCTCTAGATAAATGATCGCCTTTCAACAAAGGTTTGACATCATTAATATCAAATGTTTCAATGAATAAATCATCCAAACGTAATAAAGCTAGTGCATCCGCAACTTCAAAACCATACATAAATGCTTTCACAAAATCAGCTGCTTTTTGAAGATTGGCAATATCTGGAGTATCTTCATTCAGCTTAATCTCCACGTTCCTTGTTTTCACATTACATCTAACATTTACCTTGAGATGTGTGACAATTGGTGTAAAAATGTTCAACCAATTTTCTTTTAAAGGAGTATATCGATGAGCAGGAATAGCAACCTATGTGATAAATGAATAATCATTAAATGCAATGAATTAATAAATAATTTACACAGATATCAAAAGAATGAATAAATATATGCTACTTACTTTTCTGATCTCTGCGTCATTTACTCTCTTTCTTTTGGGGGGTCGTTGTTTTGATTTGCCTTCAATTCCATTTACAACCTCCTCCTATTCAAGTAAGATAATGTAAGTTACTAGGTACAGTAATTTTATAATGTTATGGAAATGAATCAAACGATTTCAGGAAAAAAACAGAAACAAATAATTTAAAAAATTGACGAAACATTACCTCCATCGCAGTTTCAGAGCACGGGCGTTTTTTTGCAGACATATTTTTAAGTTTGTTATTAATATAACTTAAAACTTTTTAGTTATTTATTTTTGAAGCTTGCTGATATAAGGCACTTATTTTATTTTGGAGCAATTGCTGCTATCAAAAGCACGTGGGGCGCAGGATCGTAATTCGACGGGCAAAGCATGCGTCTGCTGTGTCACTTCTTTATCGACACTGCATGGTAGCGTCAACGATTTGGTGGACGATTTGAACGGCATGAAATTTGTAGTTTAAAAAGTTAAAATACCATTACACACAGTTTTCATAAGAAATTCAATTTTTTTGGTTGATTAAAAAACGAGAAATCTGCGTCAACAATTTTCTAATTATTATCATTTTCAGAAGCAACTTTCGAGTTATATGATAAATGTTTATTTTTTAATTGGTTCAACAATATCAATAAGACATGTGAAAAAAATGTAAATATGATGAACGTCTTCACAATTTCGCTCGAATCTTTGTTATGCTCTAGAATGAGCTAGGAAGCTTCAATCGAACTTTTGAAATGGTCAAAATTTATTAAAATTTGACAAGGAATTCAAAAAAAAATTTTTCAAATTTTTTTACCGGAACCATCAGGTTCCAGGAACCTTTTTTTTAAAAATAACGTTTTTCGGCTCTAGACGCTATCGCCTTCAATTAAAACATCTGAAAAAATTTGAGATTATGTATTTTGATGAACAAAATGAGAAAAAAATTGTTCCACATTTTTTGAGGCTCCGTAGCTCCTTAAAAAAATTATTTTCGTGAAAAAAACGGTTGTTCAGCTCTAGGCTGAATGGACATGAATGAAAAATTCTGAAAAAATTCAAGGAATCGTTTTTTGACGTCAGAATTCAGAAAAAAATACTCCGGTCTGGTATATCGATCCATTTCACCGAAAATAAAATAATTTAAATTTTCAATGATTTTTTCTGAAGGCCTGAAGCACTCGAAAAATCTGAAAAAATTCAAGATTGTTTGGATTGTTGAAAAGTACCTTCATGAATTTTCTCAGATTTTTTAATAGCTTCAGGCCTTCAGAAAAAATATAGATAGAAAATGGACGTCTATAGCGGAGGAGGGGGGTAGGAGGGGGGAGGGGGTCCAAAATTTTGGTTTTGGCACTTTTTTTTCATGTACTATAACATACAAAAATTTCAGGAAAATCCGTGAACCTCGCCCGCAGGTAATTTTGAAAAATTCTGAATCTGACCCATATGTATTTTGAAAATTTTTCCTTTTCAGAAAAGCGATTAACAATGCTTTTCAGTTCCACATAAACTGAAAAAACTGAGTCATTAACTAGACTTGCTCTAAAAAATGAGTTGGTTAATGTTGGTGTAGATGATGATAAAGATCAAGTTATAGTTGAAGGATTGACTCAAGAATATATTTTATGCTACAGTGAAAAAAGATTACTCACGTTGATTACACTGTTGAAAAAATTTTGTCGAAAAAAAATGATGGTGTTTTTTAGCTCTTGCCGATCTGTCATGTTTCATCATGTATTTTTCAATATTTTTAGTTTACCAAATATGAGTATTCACGTAAGTAATTCATGAAATTCATAAAAATGTACTCCTATCTTCAAGTTATTCATTTATTATTTGTCACATGCATTTTACAGGGAAGACAAGCACAAACAAAGAGGACAAAAACATTTTATGACTTTTGTAGTGCATCATCTGGAACTTTGTTATGTACAGATATTGCAGCTCGAGATTTAGATATTCCTAATGTCGATTGTATTATTCAATATGATCCACCAAGTGATACCAAAGTATGATAAAGGATCAAATAATGATCATAAAATTTTTTGAATTTCAATGATACAAAAATTTTTTGTTTTTCAAGGAATATATTCACAGAGTTGGTCGTACCACACGTGGAGTCGGTAGTTGTGGAAATGCGCTGTTGATTTTGCGACCAAAGGTGCTAGAATTCTTGAAATATTTAGAAAAAGCCAAAGTTCCAGTTACTGAATTAGAGTTAAAAAATACCGTAAAAGCTCAACTTCAAGTAGGTATTTTAAACGTTCATAAAAAAAAAACTAGTATACAGTCAATTTCAATTTCAAATAAAATTTCAGATAGAAAAGTTAATGTCCAAGAAATTTTGGTTGCGAGATTCTGCAAAAGATGCTTATGAATCTTATCTGCGAGCTTATAACTCCCATAATCTGAAAGATGTATTTAATGTAAATACTTTGAATTTGGCTGAAGTAGTGAAATCGATTGGATTCTTGGCCCCACCTACAAATTTTCGTATCCTTTTTAAAATATAAAATGATCAAATAATGCTACTTAAAAATTTTAAATTTCAGAACTGGTATATAAAAAATTAAAAACATTTTATAGTTGGTACAATAGATCTATGTCTATATCTGATGTGCATAAAATCTCGTAAAGTTATTATTTTCACGACATTTTGATCCTTACCTTCGGGCAATTCAGTAAACTGACCAGTAGGCACGACTATGAAAAATGCTTATATGTACCAAAAATAGAGGCCATAGAATTTTCAAAATCCATAAGTTAAGAAAATTATACTGTGTCTGTAAAAGGTTGTACAATCGTCAAAGTTCTACTATTGATGCTGAAACTTCATCAAAATTTTGTGCTCAACAGATATCATATTACTGACTTATCTAGTAAACGATATCATTATTTTAAAAATTTTTCTTAGCGTTAATATTAAAATAGCACTTATAACAAGATCAAATTGTGGCAATACTTCCCGATCTCGAAAAGAACGAGTTTATGAATACAGCAAGGATCCTCCAAATGCACCACGGAGATATCAGCGCGCAAATAAGTTTCGAAAATTCTAAAAGGAACCGAGGTCGAAAATTTGATTCATTGTAAGGTCCATAAAATATTTAAAACTAAAACTGTGACTGATTCTGTTTTAAAATTCACAAATTGAATGGAACTTTTACAGTACTTTGTGATTGACTACACTTCCATATTATGTCTATAAATATTTATTATATTTGTAAATATTGTAGTATACTTCATTTTTTGTAAATATCTCATAAAAATTTTAATAATACATTTTTCCTTCCTTATCTCTATTGAATTGCAGTTAGCAATTCCAACCGATTTTCCCAATCGAATTATGATCGAGAATTATCAGAGCCCGGTGCTTTGTGTCATTTAGAAAAACCTATCGATATAGGCCACAAACTCTTTTTTGTCATAAAATGATCTACTTTTTCTGATACTCAAATCACAATGAAAACGTGCCCACGAAGAATGTGCCCTATCGGGGCGCATTAAAGAAAGTACCACTCAAATAAGTAAATGGGAAAATTCAAAATCGCATTCTAGAGCTTACATCTACCTATTTTTTTGGCATCTCCAATCAGGTGGTTTTCAATTTTAAGTTACAATCATTTATGAAACTTGTAACGTTTCATATATTTTTTCATGAAAAATCGTCGTCAAAGATCACCAACTAAGAATATCCGTTTGAAAAATTCGTAAAGAAAGAATCACAAGGTAATTTTTGTTGAAATTTTCAATGGAACATAATCGGATCGATTTTTGTCATCGAACCATGCAATTTTTGCCCAACGGTGTACGCAATCTATACCTACATTTCCCGAGGATTGAAATAGAGCCAACGCGCGTCCTTGATCGAGTTGAGGCACGATAATTTCTAAGGCTTTTATATATATCCATTGCGATTTCGATGCAGTGCAGTGCGGGCTGCGCGCGGCCTGCCAGAGCATATTATCATCATCATTATTACATAGGCACAGGTTTTGCTCTCTCACTGCGCAGCGTGTCTCTTCTCCCTCGAATAGATATACAAGCGAGGGTACATACTATCAACGGTATATAGGCTTAACATTCGCGTATATGCTTATATATGCATGTGTGCGAGTAGTGCGAACTGCGGAGGGCTAGTGCCTGCGTGAAGGCTACCTGCGCGCGCGTCTCTATCGGTCTCGCTTGCAAGCTCGGTCCGTCCGTAGTCCGTTCGACGCGCACAATATATACAACGCGAGCAAGAGAGAAAAAGAGTAGAGCAAAGATTCGCTGGGGGGTGTAGATCAAGAGGGGTTGCGATAAGTACACACACACACACGTAGATATATATAGGCAGTCTCTCTCACGCATACACGCACACACACACACTGCAGCAAGAGCGAGAGAGAGACTATCATCTATTCATCAGCTCTCTCGAGGGCGCAGACACTCGCTCGCTTGCTGTGAGAGAGCAGCGCAGAGCAAACATATATAATACGCGCGCGGAAATGTGGGAACAATAATTACAACGCTCGCGAATTTTCCAAAGTGCTGCTGCTGTGTAGTTACACATACGTATATACATATAGTGCTCTTATCATTGTTTTCTTCGCTGCAACTTTTTGGATCGCGCTCGCGACGCGTGAAACCCTCTGTGCGCGCTCGACTCGATGCGGCAAATCGTCGAGTCGTCTGCTCGTTTGTAATATAACGTATATAGCCCTCGAGCTTCTGCTCAACATATATACACACTACACAAGTGTCACACAAGACGTCGAAGCGAAGCGAAGCGCTGCTGCATCCCGTCCGCATTTTTGTATCGATATAATCCGTCCTTTCCGCATCGCGATACGCTCGCACGGTAATTAATCATATTATACAGTACCGTGCATATACATAGCTCCATTGTCCAAGCAATATATATACACACAATCATCTTTGCACACGATTTCTACGCATATACATACCACACACGGTTCGGTGCAGCTTATACGTACGTAGTGCAAGCACGCAGCAGAGCAGGAGCGCTTTGCTGCCGTGTGTGTTGTATATATCAAGCCCCGCCAAAACTTGCGAAAATGGCGGAGCAAGGCGAAAGCTGCAATCAATTGCCACCCGGTTGGGAATGCCGATACGATGGCAGAAGTGGTCGAGCGTGAGTATAATGACGTTTAAAATTTTTCAATCTGAGTATAATCGATGTAATAAGTCGCTTATAATTCATGAGATGTCTTTACCCAAACGTCGCGTCCGCGCGGCGCGCCGTGCACGCTGAGAGCTTGCAATAATACGCGGCTTTCAACCTTTTTTTCCAGATACTTCATCAATCATTTCAATCGTTCCACGACTTGGGAAGACCCAAGAGTGCGTTATTGGCAGTACGCTCAGTATTTACAATCCCAAAATTCAACCACTCCAAGTTCAATCACAACAGATCACCCAAGCGAATCGCTACCCCTGCTGGTATGTTGAAGACACTTGCGCATGCTCCTTTATTTATAAATAAAATGACAAGAATTGTGCATAGAGTTTATATAAAGCTGTATGCATAAGTCATTATATCTTCACCAATAAAAGGTGATTCGTTAAGTGTATAATGTGCGTATTGATGGTTTTGGTATTATTTATGATACTAATGATTCACAAATGTAAATAAGTAAAATTATCTGGATTTTGCATGCCTGTAACAGTGTGTAAATGTGCGAGATTGCATGGTTTGCAATGTATGCGACTGCTGCTTCTTTTATTCTATTGATGAAAAACAATCATCTCTTGAGCATCACCTGCGACTATGTATTAATTTATCTCTGAACAACTATCTACTCTATCCTTCAACTGTGTTTGAACGCTATATTCTTTGTATGCTGCATTTCTTTGGATTTTCATTGTATACGATGTACTCTATGCTGTACTACCAGTCAAGTGGAAGCACTGCGATTGGACATATAACATATTCTGGAGCTCACAGAGTTCCACAAGTCTATCCAACTCCTACGCCTTATTCTAACCCACAGCTTGCATTCTTACCTCCAAGTTTGAAGGTAGGTAAATGTGGTGCTTGGGTTTTTATGTTATGCGATTGCTTAGTGTCACTTCTTTTCTTTGTAGAGTTGTTTTTTTCATAGTTCAGAAATGATGGGAAGAATTGTTGTAATAATTATATCAATGTAATTTCCTAGGATCTCAAAACGCCAATATCGACACGTTCTGTAAGTGGCTTGACAAACAGACTCGGCGATCTGACAATCGGCTCACCCACTCCAATCAGAACGGAAAACAGCTTGATCCAGAATACCGATATCGAATTACAAGTGGCAAAAATCAACACCATGTTCCCCACAGTATCCGACACTCATATTCGACTCCTTCTAAAAAAGTAAGTCCGCCCCCAATTACTTATAATTTCATGGGGTGACCGCTTTTGACAATTTTTCCACTCAATCTCCATCAGATTACTAACGCTTGATGTGCATTAATTTTGATTAAAAAGAAAATCGATTCGAAACTGCTCGAAACTGCTAACAAACTAATACATACAAAACAAAAATAAAGAAAGCTCACTGCCTCCGCGAGACGATCGCTCAGTCCACATAGCTATAATGTTTGTGCACAGGTACCATAACAGACCGGCGCTGGTCGTCAGCGCTCTCCAGGTCGAGAAGAATCCTCTGTGCCAGCCAGGACCCTGCACGCCGATCGGCGTGCACTCGAGCTACTCGTCGATACCGAGATGGCATCTGCCGGCTCAGGCCATTCACGCCGCACTGACGCTGAGTCCGCCGATTCGAGGCTTAAAACCAATCACGCCGCATTCCCCAAAAATGAAACTTAGGTTCATTTATGTGTTGAATTTATATGTTGAATGTTAATTGCTAGAACAAGTCTTAGTTATCGACTCGTTTAAAAATATAAAATACCTCCCGGTTCCTGTTTAGTTTTGATTTACGTTGGATCATTTAACATAGCCCAACAAAAGTCACGATCATTTATCTGCACGATCATCTGTAAACATTTTTTTTTTAATAACATCGATCACGAATCAGACATCTTGAATGTTATAGATTTATGTAGAAAGCTTACAAACATTTGTTCTAGTTTGTAACTGAATATGTTCATTACTTTTGTTTTTACCACGATAGATTTTTATTTTTTTCTCAATCCCAATTCTTTTCAGTTTTATCCTGGTTTACAGTATCTTATAGAAGTTGAGTCTCATCAATTTTGAAAAAATGTAGATAGGTTAGTCAAGTTGATTATGATTTTATACATTATTTAAATTGAATATATTTTTTATTGATCAAATTTTATAGACGTGCTATTTGCGAGAGGATATACTTGTGGAATGAATCAAAAATGTTTTTGTGAAGTTTATCTCACGAGCACGCATTTGTTTATCCTTCGCACGCGTGCATGCATATAAATATTTCCATAGAACGATACTCCTCGAGTCTCGTGAATACAGAAATTAAATAAATTTTTTACATCACAGGTACCTCAAAGGCATGTTCCCGAAAGTCGACGAGTACATACTGCTCGATTCCTTGGAGCAGTCCGATAACAACGTTCAAAAGGCTACGGACAGACTACTCGAAATGGGCTACGAGAAACGTACTTCCGCCGCACCTTCGAGGTGCTATTACCCCAAAAAACCAGAAAAGGTACTCAATATCAATTTACCGACTTGTTTTGAAATAACGCGATTTTAAAGCTGGCAATTGAACTTGTAGCTTCCGGCGTTACCACCTGCTCCTACTCCTACGCCGCCTCCTCGTATGAAATCGATCGAAGAAAAAAATAAAAGTAAGTCTCGTATAATTACTTATGTTGTAAATAGCTCATTGAAATACCGTATCTTTTTTTCAGTGAAAAATCGATTGATGAGAAAATTCGAAGCGGTACCGGAAAAAGTCATATGGCTGGCTTTGGACAGTGTGGATTACGATGAAGATCGTGCCGCCCACATTCTTGACATAATGATTGCCGAAGAAGCGATCAAACCCTTGAACACGTCCAGTAGTCAGAGGCAAGTTTGGATTTTTGTTGAGGATTCGTTTTTAAATAAATGTTCATTGAATCTCGTTGAAATTACAGTAGTAACAGAAGCGACGATAGAAAAGATCATCATCCAGTGACCGAAGCTCTGAAATTAACCGCGTCACCCATAAAGAGAATTACCAAAAATGACGTGGACATCGAAAAATCAAAACGGCCGAAAACCAAAAGTGAAGTTCCTAAGTGAGTTTCCGCTTAATTTAGTCCAATAATTTTAATTTAATTGTTCAATCCTTATTAATTATGGTTAAAATTTTTAGGGTTTCACGAGGAACGAGTACAGCGGAAGATAACGATTATAAATCTCCTTACCTTACGAGACCAATGGGTCCGAATCCAGATTTAATCAAAGGAGCAGATAACGATATACTTCTGTGAGTAATCGGTATCTGAATATCAATATTCTGACTGTAATCGAGTTTTTCATTTTGTCCTTGCAGACCAGATTATGCGCCATGGTCTGGACCCGATCCTTCGAACTTGTTAAAGAACACTTACACGAGATCCGTCGCGTGTGGCAAAGACACGCAATTAGCCAATGGTACATCGAATCTAGCTAAAGGTTCCAATTCAGAACTACGTAAAGGACCGTTACGAGGATTAGCCCAAGGTTCAATTTATTCTCAAAGAATTTCTACGGGTGTTGAGAGTCGAGGTGAATGAAATACTCTTAGCTGTTACTTTCAGTTCGATTTTTTTTGATTCATTGATTTTTAAATTTTAGGTAGAACTTCGAACCAAACCAATTCGTGATAACTACCTACTTCCTCCGTGATTTACATTGGCGAGAGCAGTAATAGTATTCGTGAATTGGTTTCGTTCAAATTTCCACCGAAAGCTCATAAAAAGTGCAACGATAAGTCGACAAGTTTTTATTTTTGTATGGAAATTTCTGCTCCATTTTATTGGTATAGCTGAGTTTCGAAAGTTTCAAATGATTATTTTTAATGCATACAGTTAAACATGTATGCGTAGCAAAAATCAATTAGTATGAATACCAATAACGGGTATTTAAAATCTCTTATTTTTTATAAAAATATTTTTTAAAACTTGTGTAAGTGTACATCAAAAGCCTCTCAACATCATATTCGATTTAAAAAAAAATTAGGAAAAATTGTAAAAAAAATAATTAAACTTTCGTGTGCAATGTAGATCGATCTTAAGGGTATTGCAAGTTACTCTAGTGTCTTTTGAATCAAACAGATACTTTTTCCTTGAAACTTGCAAAACAAACTTTGAGACGATGAAAATACTCCCTTTTCTTATTACTACCGAATTATAATACGGCAATGATAAGAATCTAGTCATAATGTAGGCAGAAAATTGACTTATTTTCAACAGTATTATTTAGACTAAATAAAATCTAACTATTAAGATCTTTCCATTAGCACATACATTTATATACTACACTAGTAAGCAGATATTTTAATAAAAATCAATCAATACTGCACGTTTTTGATGAGTGAACACGTTAACATAATAGTGAAAAATGGATCTGCTACTGGAAAGAAATGCTAGTATGTACATATATTATGTATACTGTTAAGATTATGAAATCAGCAGTGTAAAAAGTATTGAAACTAATGATACTTTTTGAAGAAGACCTTAAATCTAAATTAAATACATTCTTTAAATAATTTGTTGGTGATACACCCATGCAAGATGAAGTAAACGTGAAAGTTACTGAGAATATTATTCATTTAAGAATTTTTAAGTGTAAAATGAAGTAGTTGTGTGCAAGAAGTAAAAAAAAATTTGAAGTTTCTTGATAGAGTGTGCAATTGTACAAATTGTAATTTTTACATAGAATACTTTTCCAAGCTGTTAAAGTATTAATGTTTACAAAAGCCTCAATAGAAGCAATGTTTTGTAGAGAAAATTTGCCAAACAATAGGACAGTAATAAAATAATTTTTTCTCAATAAACCAAATAGAAGAAAAAATATAACTTAAAGAAACGTGGCTTTTTAAACATACTCAAATAAGAAATGAATAAAATTCATGCTAAAATTTGCGCTTGTTATTTGTACTTTACGTACAAAATAGTTTCTCATAACTTAATTCAAATATCCTGCCTTTTGAAAAAAGTGAATAATGAATTGATAGCAAATTACAGGCTATGAATTAAAAGTAGATTTGAGCTATTTTTATAGCTTTTCAACTTTTAAAACAAAATACTAAGAGCAAAAAGATATATTTTGACTACCTTTTAGCTAATAACTCAAATCAACTGATCTAAAACGTCCACTTGAAAAAGCCATAAGTGTAATTGGTATTGCATGTAGCTTGTACTTGAGTAAGTTCAATCTATTTATTGTAGTTAAAATCAAATTTAACTAAAATATAGTAATTGTTTTTTTAAATCAATGAAAAATGTAAAACAATTGTATGAACCTCAATTTAACTGTTAGCACATTCAGTATTATTATGCAAGTATTACATATTTATTAATTTATTAAAAAAATTTGATTTACCTGTCAGTATGTGTGTATGTAAAAACATCATAAGTCAATATATACATCAAAAACTGTATATTCTTATAATAATAGCGTAATTGAGATGCCAAGTTTTTTGAATTTAATTTTTGAATATACTGAAAGTATTTTTGTGTAATTGTACAACGTGTCCATGATGAAATAATTAAGGATGCACTATGTTAGTGCTCTAATCGTCCAAACAGATCTTGTAGGCAAAGTCTATATATTTTTCGTAATTAAAATTATCATTTGATCTCCCACACTTATTAATTACTCACTTGAGAATTTTTTGTTAAAATTACTATTATATCAAGATTTTCTATTGTTTCAAGTTATACATTGTTTATAGTTAATTTGTTTGTATTTAACATTTAATGAAAGTTACCACTTTTAAACTCTGTAATTAAGTTATTGTACTTTACATTAAGTTAGTGTATCTAAACATATCCGTGCAATAAATGAAGTTTTAACGATAAAATAAACTATTCCTTCAATTTATCAAATAATTCTATATGTTATTTTAAGTGTATTAATTATTGAATAGCGTTAAATTTTCACATTTAACTTTTTTACTCTCAGTAATATAAATTTATACCTTTTTCAGAATTTAGTTGCATACTTTTTTAAGGTAAATGAAATCACAACAAACTGGTTTGTATTAACTTAAATATATTTTAAATTAATTTATTTACACATGTAACATACTTTATTTTAATTCAATAAATGTAACAAACTTTAACTTCCTAAGGCCTAAAATATTTGTAGAAAATAATTACAGTCAAATGATAAAAGTGCAAAAATATAACGAAATATCGATACACTGATTTACAATGAATGTGCATGTAATACTATTAAACTTCATCTTCATTTAACAACATGTTTGGTATGCCATCGGTAATTGGAAACCGACGTCCTGATTCTGGACATACTAAATCACCTTTTACAACTTCAACTTCAAGAAGCGCATGATGTACTTCTTTCAAAAAGTCTGTGTTTTTTTCTACATTCTCCGGCACATGCCCTGGTAGTTTACCAACATGACCCAACTAAAAAGCAATGAATTAAATGATATTAGCTATTGTGCATGATCAGCTTTATAAATTTCAGAAATTTTAATTATACTCACGTATTCAGCTGCTCTGATCAAAACTGAATAATCAATTTTTGGAATAACTTTAGCTATGAACTCTGGGTTAAACTCCACTTCTGTAACCTTAACATCGTAAGCCTGCAGAATAATAATATGATAAGTAAATATTAAATTGTTTAACTGAATGCAAGTTAATAGGAATAAAATGAATTACCTCAATTTTTAAAGGGTATCCAACAACGACTCCCTTGAGACTTTTGGACGATAGCATGTTGTGCGTAAGTAGCTTCATTTTGATATTAATTCTTAGATTATGTTTCTTCGGTAACCACTAAAGTATGACTGAGTAAGTAAAGTGTTTTCTTACTGGTGAGTGGTGGTTCTTAGTAATTTAAGAATTTACACGTGTTATTTTAAGGTTATAACACTACCGTGGCGTGTGGAAAATAGATCTCTACTATTCTCTACTAAAAATGGGAAACCTTTCTCACACTCGGAGAGCACATGCTACTGATCTGATCTTTAAAACTACTTTGGAAGTGGGAAGTGTCATCAAGCACGAGCCGCTGGAGGGGGAGGGGCGCGCGCCGCGCTTACTAATTCAATTAATTGTGCGCATGGCACAGGACTTGCTTCTGCTACAGGCTACTGTTTATAAAACCACTCGAGAATCGCTATGTCGTGACATCGAAAAATGAATTTTTTTTTCTTAAAAACACACTCGCGATTCAAAGTACTTTAATCTGTTGTAAAAATGAATGAACCCTCGTGTTCAACGCTAACGACTCCTGAGAGAAGAAAAGAGTACGTTTTACGTTGGTTGATAAATCATCCCGACACAAATTTGAATTCCGATGGTGCAAATTACAAAACGACTCCACCAAATTCACCGGGTACCAAGCAATCTTTTGATCAGGTATCATCGCCGATATTGAGCCGAAATAAATGTGGAGAAAATGCTTCAACGACATCACCAAATCTGGGAAAAAAACGTCCGGCTGAATCGCCAATTCTCACAAGTCGTAAGAGTCGTTTCAAAAGATCGAAAACCCTCAGAAGGGACAGTAAAGGAGGCTTTGAACAATTCAAAAATTTTGAAGGGATTCAAACAAGTACACAAACATCAGATAATAGTAATATGCTGCATTCCATATGAATCCTATTTTTTGTCAATTACTACATTCAAATTAAATAAATTAGTTGTAGATACCAGTTCAAGTGACACAAATGCACCACCAGTTTGTAGGGAAAATTTGATGGGAAGATTGAATACTCTTTATGAAGAGCCATCACAATTTATTGAGTCTGTTTCTAGTAGTGAACGTGAAAGCCAATTTTCTAAAATTCAGAAAGATGATGAAAAAGGAGTTGGTTTAGTAAATCTTAAAAAATTCAAAGATTTTGAAGAACCTAAAACAAGCACCCAAACATCAGATATGAGTAAGATACTGTATTTGGTATTAACACTATCCTTCAATAGTTACTTCATTCAAATTAATTCATAATCTTTTAGTCATAGACACAAGTTCAAATAGCACAATTACACCACAAGTTTGCAAGGACAATTGGATGGAAAGAATATCAAAAACCCTGTATGAACAGCCATCACAATTCATTGAGTCTGTTTCTAGTGACGAACACAAAACTCAAATTTCTAAAATTCATATAGACGATTCAAACAGTGAAGAGTCTGAAAATTCTGATAGGGTTCTCATAGAAGAAGTGAATTCTCAATTATTCATTGAATCTTCAGACAGAGAAGAAATTATTCAACCATCCCAAGTCATTTCAAATCCATCAACTTCAAGTTCGTCTCAATCATTAAATGATCAGATTTCAGAAGGTAGTGATTCTGAAATAACAAAGTCTTCCTCTCAAACACAAAATGATATAAATATAATTGAAACTCAGTTTCATACAAAGACAAATTTTGTCAAGACTACATACATTACACAATACAGTTCAGATCAACCAAAGAAAAAAAAGTATTCAAAAAAGTAAGTACTTTTTTATTTCATGCTGAAATTATGCCTTTTTATGAAAATTTATTACCTAATTGCTATTTTTTGATTTTTCAAAGGAGCACTTTATTAAATATTTTGAATGCAGCAATGGCAAAAGAAAAATCGAGAGTAGTTCTTTTTCGTCATAAAATCGCTAAAACACCAATCATTCTTAAAAATGAACCATATATTATATTGGAAATAGTTGATAATTTACCCAGCATCAATAATAATCAAGTATTTAAATGTAATGTTATTGAAGATGAGACTAAAATTTTAAAAGATATTTTTCTTAAAAAGCGATATGACTCTGTTTCTGTGATGAATGTTCCTGAAGTTTCAGGATTAATTAATGTAAAAGAAAAGCCTTTGTTAAAAGTATTTAAACCTGTGATAATCATAGATCCGCATCAGCGTATAATAGTTATAAATAAATTTATAGCAATGCCTAATAATAGTACAAATATAAATTCTATATTAAATTTAGAAAATAATGTGAAAGTCAAAGAATTGTACAAATTTACTTGTCCATGTATCAAGTCAAACTGTCTTTCAGATATGTGTAAAACTAAATTTTGTGACATAGACTTTGATATGAAAGGAGCTATTTTTGAGTACAAAACTTGAAAAGTTAATAAAATATCAGTTTCAAAAGCCATACAATTACAAATGTACATCCTTTCTACTCTTTATTCCATACCCTACTTTTAAATTTCATTTACCTAGTTTACTTGAAAATGTCATTTTCAAGTCTTTGACAGGAGAGTTTTTCATCTGTCACAACAAGTGCGCATTATTCAAGTGACACATCATGTCGATATAGTAGATATCTGTTACACACTATTAAGAAATACCTAAGCAGACGTGATTTTTACAATGATATCAACAGTTTAACATTACACACGCTTCAAGTATCTCTGTAAGTTATCGATGCACCTTGACCAAAAATTGTTTAATACTTGGGACTACAAATACAGTGGCGATCGATCGGTTTAACTGTTGTATCAATAGTTTTTTTGTTTACGCCGACCATAGACTGTACCCAAAAGAGAATTGAAATCTGTTCTGTTCAAACGCATATCGTTTCAGTAAAGATTTCAAGTTATTAGTAGTAATGTATATATTTTATATATTAATTTTCATTGCATTCAACTAAATTCTCATCAAGAAATTACCAAAATCATCCTGTGTCTTTCTGCTTGAATTATAAATGCAATGTATAACCTACTCGCGAGAAATTAATAAATCATTCCATCATGTGATATTTACAGATAATGTCAGCACATCAAGATCGACCGGAGCTTTATGAGGAGGTGAAATTATACAAAAATGCACGTGAACGTGAAAAGTATGACAACCAAGCAGATTTATATGCAGTTGTGAATACGTTGCAGCATCTTGAAAAAGCTTATATCAGAGATTGCGTTACACCGAAGGAATATACAGCTGCATGTAGCAAACTATTAGTGCAATACAGAGCTGCTTTTAAGCAGGTAGAGTAAATTTGTTAAATATAGAGTAAGTTTTATACAATTATTCAAGGAAGCTTTATTAAAGAATTTTATATTGATCTTTAGGTTCAAAGCGATCAGTTTCCTACAATTGATGCTTTTGCCAGAGCTTTCAGACTTGATTGTCCAGCTGCATTAGAACGAATTAAAGAAGACAGACCAATAACAATCAAGGATGATAAGGGCAACACCTCCAAATGCATAGCTGACATTGTTTCTCTTTTCATCACTTTGATGGACAAGCTGCGCCTTGAAATCAAAGCTATGGATCAACTTCATCCAGACTTGAGAGATTTAATGGATACCATGAATAGACTCAGTATCCTTCCAAGTGATTTTGATGGAAAACACAAAGTAGCAGAGTGGCTTCAAACTCTGAATGACATGTCAGCATCTGATGAATTATCAGAATCACAAGTCAGACAATTGATTTTTGACTTGGAAACGTCTTATAATGCCTTCAATAAAGTACTGCACAATTCATAAGTGCACAAAGAGACAATTTTAATGAAATGAATGATACTTTGATATTGAAATATGTATCTGGATTTTATATATTCAAGGGATGTTGAAGGATAACTGAGGTATTGCATTTATTTCCAGTTTGAAATGCAATTAATGCTTAAAAAAATTAACTTAGTGTAAATCGTGGAACATAGCTTGATAACTCAAAAAACTTGAAATAAATGAACTTATTTATATTTGCTTTAAAAGTTATAAAAAAGATTGTAGCAAAAATAGAGTTTCAGTAGATAAATGATTACAATATATTTTGATCAAACCTTAAACAGTATTTCATTTTTGTGAACAAGTTTAAGAACTGTGATTTCATCAAAATGAATATATTTATAAAATAACATTAATTTAACTCCGTTCTGTATACACCATGTAAAAATTTTTTTATATACGAAGCTCATTAATAAATTATAATTTTTCAAAGGATAAAAAAGCTTTTTTAATCATTTGAATTTCAAAAATATGCGATTAGCTTGCAACTTTCCATTCTCGGATCGAATTTTGCTTTGCATATATCGTATATATCACATTTCCATTAGCTGCCTCCTACCAACGATCTCATATATACTTATGATCCTGTGACATAGAGAATATAAAGAGAGCTGGAAAAAAGAATCTACTGGAGAGGGAGCGAAAAAAGCGCTCACGGGACTCGGGCACATTTTATGCGTCATAGTGGGGATACAAAACTTATATAGACATCATCTGTTTGGCTCAGCAGCACATTGTGTACATCTGTTATAAGATTTCCTTCACTCGGTACACGACGAGAATCAGATGGTTATCGGATCACGATACAGAACCCTGTACGAGAATCATTAAAAATAGACTCGATTCTTGTCCCTAGGAGGAGTGACGTCTCTAAAAGCATATAACACAGTCTGCTTATAAGCTCCGCTTTCGGTGCGGTGAACGCGAGATACGCGCAGCATCTTGCCGGAAATTATCTTATCTTCTCAACGGATATTTCAAATGTAAAATCAGTATACGCTCAGTGTTTATTTGATTGAAGCGAGTGTGGTGTCGTGTCTCTTTCGGTCCAGAATACATCGCTGTCGCGCGAAGCACGATACAAAGTTTCACGATGCCGAGCTTACTTGGGTACGTTTCTGTCGAGACATTTTTTAAAATCATTCTTACAACGTGATTATTTATGCTAATTACTGTTTTACAGAAAAAGGAACGGAATATTTTCCATTTCGCGCAAAAGATTGTACATTCACGTTTTTTTCGTGTCGATCATTTGCTGGTTTTTCTTCTTTCACAAGCGCAATTACAATTTGACGCACGAGGGTATCGTGCACAATGCGGAGCCCGAACAGGTTTGGGAATTCGTGGCAGATTTCAGCAATATGATGAAATTAAATCCCACTATGTAAGTTTCTCAAATTAACTACGGTAATTTGATTCCTTCATTATAACGATTCATTTCTTGCACGACAAAAGCGAGGAGTTCAACATTCTGAAGGAATCGGGCAACTACGAGCACTGGAAGTACTGGGTCGAGTACACGGAACACTTGAGCGCCACTACGTGGATAAAGAATCACGCCGTCGGGCAGTACTCGATCAAGCGCAGTGGTCACGGATTCGTGATCGAGTCCAAGCACAACACCTGCTTCATGTTCGGAATGAACTGCTGTAAGCAATTTTTAGAATTTTAGCTTTTTTCCGCAATGCTGCTTGAATTATGTTACAATCGTGATTTTTTTCCCAAACAGTCTACACCGAGGCCGAATTCTTCTTCGAGCGCAGCGGCGACCACGACACCAGATGCATCGAGACCATTCATTACCAGTGCCCGCTCGGGTTCATCGGCATGTGCGAGGGCGAGGTCAAAGCCCAACGAAAATTGATAATGGGCAATTTGAGACAGCACTTCTCCACCTTGCATACGAATAAACATAATAAAAAAGTCTAATTTTCGTTACACCTTCGTTGTAAAATTATTTACTTTTTTTTTAAAAACCCCTACGAGTTCGCGACGGACGACGCCAGATGGCGAATAACGCTCGAGCGATGCAGAACGTCTGCGAGCGATTGACTCAAATTCGCACTGTATTTTAGCGTATAAATATTTACCTCCTCCGGCCATCATCTCCGACGAGGCAGTTTTTGTATTTGTTTTTTAATTTTTGGTTTTTCTTCGAGTCCCAAACATGATCGACGGTAACATATCGATGGAAGAGGACACGGAGCTGCGAGATCTGGTTATTCAGACTCTCGAAAATAATGGTGTTCTTGCAAAAATACGGGTACGTAATTTGTTCGTTGTGCCAAACGATGTGCGCGTTGCGAGGTTAAATTTTGGAATTTCGCGTCAACAAACGCTTTATGTTAATTTTACAAAAGTGCGATTATTATGATTTTGCGAGCTATTCGAAAACTCGTGTGTTAAATTGGTTTTCAATGATTTCAGGCCGAGCTTCGAGCTAGTGTTTTTCTTACTTTGGAGGAGCAAGAATCTGTTTTGGTATGTCACATAGTTCGATTATTTCATTACAAAAAATCGTATTTTCTTATTAAACAATACATATTTGAATTTATAGAACCCTGAACCTCTTCTCAATAAACCAGTTAGGCAGTACCTAAGTAAACCAGAGGGAAAAGTGTTGTTTGCCTTAGTCAGAGAATTTCTTGAATATTTTGGTCTAGATTATACGCTATCAATTTTTGATACTGAGACATACTTAGGTAAGGAATATGACTATAATGGTAGGAAAAAACTTGGTGAGGACTTGGGGATTAGTACCAGTGAACCTCTGCTTGGTGAAATCCTTAAAAATACCATAAATGCTGCAGTTAATGCAGAAAAGGTACGCTACTATTGTAAATTTCCTAGCCTTTTTAATACTTATTTTTCTTACATTTTATAGAATAATTCAAACCAGGTAAATTTAGATAATTCTAATCAAAATGTTGACAACCATGGCAATTCAACATTTGACATTAGCAATCCTAAAGTTTTACACAAAGATTCCGACGTTTCCAACAACTCATCAAAAATAAATGATTTTCAAACAAAAAATATTCCAGAAGAAATAACTGCAAATAAAGTTGAAAACTTATTGAATCACAACAGCATTGATCAAATGACTGACCATAAAATTGTGAATGAAAAGTTGAATGACACATCTAATCTAGCTTTAAAAGAAAAAAGTGCTCTTATAAATAATAGTAATGAAAATACAAACAACAAACACCTCCTAGATCAACTGAACAGATCTTTTGATAATTTGAAAAATAAGAAAATTAATGAACCAATAGTTAGAGGTAAAACATTGTATTTTGATGAAATAATTGTTGATGGAACAAGTGAAAAAGTCACAGAAAAAAAAGATGTAGAATCTTTTGTTGGACAGTCATCAAATACTCCATATTCCAATACTTCAAATCTTGGTGATTTACCACCTCTTAATGGTAAAAAGACACATATGAATGATTTAAAAGAATTAATGGATATTGGTAAGTTTTTTTCATTATCAAATATTCTGTTATTCTTTAAATAAAATTAATATTTTATTTAGCTAAATCTGTATCACAATATGATGAAGATCTCCCATCATCTGGCTCAAGTCCTAGTGAACAGAGTCCATCTAAAATCCCTGGAGACAGTAATAAACAGTCCATCAGTCCAAAAGCTGTAAACGAGTCTGCTCATAATTCACTCAGTGATAATAGTGAAGAAATACATGAAGAATTATCAAGTGGAACATCATATGTAAGATTTTTTTTTATACTAATAATAATAATTGATATCCATAAATTAATAAATATGATTTTTCACAGATTGATAACTTGTTAGAACTTCAACCAAAGGATTTGGACAAAGTTCACATAAACAATGAATAATATACTTGAAATAGTAATTATTTAAAATTAATTAGACTACATGGTAACTATTTAAACATGTTTTAGATTATAATGAAATTTTTTCATTGAGAAGCAATTGGCTTTACTACAAAATGAGTGCCTAGACACATACAGCATTTCAAACTTAGAGCACATTACATATTTTTATAAATATCCAGTAAATTATTGGTAATGTATTTTAGTATAATGCATAATTTAACTGAGTCTATTTTAGTTTGTGCAGTTTATATATTTATTTTTATTACAATCTGATATTGAGGGCTATTGCCTATGAAGACAAATTTATCGTTTAAATTGAATAGTATAGATTTTACAATGAGTAACAGTAAGAAGAAATAAATGACTCAAATAGATGAGTGGTAAACTAAGAGCACACATATTGTTAAAACCAAAAATCTAGTTAATAAAATATTTTTATGAGCACTTTATTCAACTAGATTTTTAAAATATGAAGCAAACTTTCTATAAACTTTAAGTAAATATTTTACTTATGTAATTGTGTATGTTGATGCACAACTCATTTTTTTAATCAACGAAAGTATTTGGTATTGCCTTTTTGACAAGTACATGCGCATTTTTTATGGTGGCATTAAAGATTCCATCCGATTAACATGTTTACAATGTAAAAATAAATAATAGTTTAGCTGTTTACTATGTATATTTTTACATGTTGTTTTAGTATTTGTTATGCTGAGTATATATAATTGCAGAATAATTGTAAAATAATTCATAATGAAATCATTGTTGTAAAACTAAGGTGAATTTGTATAGAAAGCAAATGTGTAAATTTTCTGTAAATTTACAAGTGTAATCTTTGAAAAAATTCTTTGTTATCATATAAAATTCAAGCATTCTTTTTATGTAAAGAAACAGAAAATTATCTATGAACATAAAAAAATTGAAAACCTTTTTACACAAACAACTATTATAATTATATATTGAGTTAATTAATGCATATATTCTTTGATAAGCACTGAAAGCAAATTTACATTTTTTTCTAATGATGAGGTGGTATTATACAAAGGGTTGATTTTATAATAAAAAAAATTAAATAAATATTGAAAACAATTTATTTACAACACTTATAATTCTCTATGGATATAAAATGATTTTACAAACATTGAATATCCCTAAAAAATATAGTCTAGACTATAGATTTCAATTGCGCTCCATTTGTATTCTGGTACTATAAGCTTTTGACACTACATTGTATGAATCAATATATCGGTCCATACACATTGCAACACATTTCTAGAAAAATAATATAAGTTTTAGCGTATGTTAAACAAGAATATTTAAATTATTGATTCAACTTACTTGTTCAGAATTATCTAAGCTAATTCCTGGCTTGTTGATGCATTGTTTAAAGCATTTTTCTGTAATTTTCTGAAATGGAAAATTTCTTTAGAACATCCTTATCATTTGAACATGTGTATCTGATGAGAATATTTCATACCGTTAGTAGTTCTTGAAAATTTGCTAAAGCAATTTCCTGCTTGACTTTGTCCATCAACTCTTCTTTTTGAGCACTGGTTAGCCCACTGCCACCCAAACTTCCAAGAGACTCCATTTTTTATCAGTTATCTGTAATGATGAGCAGAATAGTTATTTTTTACGGTGTTTTGTAATCATCGAATGATTGACAACGAAAAAACTCTGAATATTATTTGTGACAAAAAAATTTAACGTAACAAGCACGTGACTTTTACATCTACTTGCAACTACTTACAAATATTTATCTTTTATCACATAAATTAAGAACTACAGACACTTTTTTCGCGGCAGAGGTTAATACCTCCTCGTAACAATTTTCACGATGTGCTCACTGCTCAGTGCTAGTATTATAAGCTATAACCTATAGCACGCATGACTAACATGGGAAGATGTCATTGAACGTAAGACCTTAACTTTGCGAAAAGTATAGACAAACCTGAATGTTGACCTACTCCCGCCGACGACAACAGACTGCGTTGGTTACCACCATATGAGAAACATAACACATGACAAGTTTTTACTTGGAAACAATCAACTTCAAAGTTCAAACTTCAAATCTTTTTTCGCTCTCTGATTTTTCATAAAGGATAAGTTTAAAGCAGCAAAAATGACAGACGAAAAGTTTGATGGTATGTTGTTGACAATGGCACAACAACACGAAGGAGGTGTGCAAGACGTGAGTAAATGTTAATTATTAGCCGGTATTATGCTTGTAGGTTAGTTCAGCAATTATAAATTGACAAATCAATCGCAACGTTTTTTTCTGTACAGCTTCTGGAGACGATATTCAGTTTTTTAGCAAGAAAAACAGATTTCTACACGGGTGGCGAAGATAACGCGGCTGAAAAGGTACCCTCTTAATAAGCTTCCAGAAATACCTAGAAACTTCGATTTCTTAGTTGTATATGTTTTTTTCCTTCTAGCTTGTTATGAAAGTATTCAAAAAACACCAAAAGACAGCTCTAGAGATCTCGAGTGCAAAAAAAGCTGAACGTGCAGAACAGGAAAGAAAGAGGAAAGAAAGACTAGAGAAAAAGAGAAAAGAAGAGGAAGCAGCATTTGAAGTGAAAAATGATGATTCCAAAATAGTAGAGTTAACAGATGAACAAGCTGATAAATTACAAAAAGAACTAGATTCTAAGGTAGCCTATTAGTTTTTTACTTGCTTAATTTTTTTACAAAAAAATTTTGCCATAATTCTTGCCTCAAGATAAATGTATTATTATAACACTTGTAATCTAGAAATCCCAAAAAGAAAAAGTTGTTGCTGCCCCTGTCGCTAAAGACAGTGATAAAAAAGAAACTAAAGAAGACGACGATGCAGAGGAGGATGAGGAAGAAAAGAATAAATTAGTACCTAATAGCGGTAATGGTGCTGACTTACCAAATTATAAATGGACACAAACCTTGCAAGAACTCGAGGTAAGTCATACTTTTTTTTAAGAACTCAATTAGCAGTTATGTCAGAGCATTGTTTTTAAAAAACAATGATTGTTCATAAAAACTTTATTATTCATTCCACAAAAGAAAAATTTAACAAGCTATTGGGTGGTCAAATTTATTTTTATGCAAACAAACGTTTAGCTTCTACATATTTTTTTTAATTGAAGCTTATTTATATTCTTTGTTCTCTTCATCACTGATGAGATCAACAAAAGAATTCACGTCCAAAAAGAGTACCATGTCACTCTTGAAAAATTTAGCTTTTGAAAAATTACCCAATTAAATCATAATTGAAATTCGGTGTCTCTCTGCAAAAGGTCATTGACTTTAATCGATGACGCTTATCATCGCAAGAATTTAAACTACGATCACATTTTCGCAAATTAAATAAAAAAAAGATTAAATTACGTTCATCGCGTAATTACGTATGCCAGTAGCTAGGAGGCACGTCGCTTCGAGGAAAGAGTACACACATAACTTCTCAAAATTTTTGATTTGTTCATCGCACCCGATTAATTATCGATGATTGAAACTTACACGCGGATGTGCAAGTGCTCTGTTTAAAAGAGAAAAAAATTCTAAGAACGCACGAGTAATCGCATGAAATTAGCACCCAAAAGATACGTTCGCAAATTAAATTAAAAATGTAACAGTCGGTAATGTAATCCTTACGAAAAATGACATAAGCAAAGGTACACGCGACGAGATTTAATTTTTTGCGGGATGGGAGTCGGCCAGCCAGAGCCCAATCAAAGCAAACGGTATACTCGTTAAATGGGCGGTGACTCCCAAAAATAAAGTACGCGCGAGAGAAATAAAAAAAAAAGGGGTACTCGAGAAAGTCAAGATCAGGATCTTATTATATAAGCGCAGCTGACTGACTGGGCCCGTGTACGAGCGCGCAAGATGTGTATGCTATAACGTTATGTCACTATTAGGTGAAATTTCGGAACCGCCGCGCGAAACTCATTGATTCCCCGCACCTGTGCAACACGTTATACATACACGAGTATTGCGGCTGGCTGCGGCTAACTAAGCGCTCGGTGAAAACGAGGCCGAATTTCGCATCGGCTCGCGGGCCCCCGGATAAATAAATGATTAGCACACATTGGATTGAGAATTATTATACGATACATGATTTTCATAAAATTTTTATTATGATATACAATATCGAAACTTTGGCTTCTCATCGATGTACACTTGGAAACATAATGTAAGATCCTTAATAATGTAACAATTATGCCGCAGTACACGCGGAACGTGTGTACGATAAACTACAACGACATATCTTGTTTGTGTGTGCGAGGCGCACGCAGAGAATTGCAGCATACACACAACACCGCTGCTAATACTCCGCACTCGACACATTACAATATTATATTATCTGCCTTCTTTCTTCTTGTGTTCAACCTTTTTTTTGTAATTAACGACGGGTTTTTAACGCGTCTTACGTTACAGTACATAAGTATAGTGACTAATACTTTTTTTTCATCTTTCTAATAATTAACAAAATTAATGAAATTAAACGCTATTAACACGAACGAAAAATACACACACACACACTCGTACACGCACAAAAAATACATTAGATAATATCACAGTCGGTATTCATAATGATTATTTTCTTTTCTCTCTCTCTCTCTCTCGTTTCTTTATAGCAACGAAACTTTCGTCCTGGGCTCCATCTGCTCCGTGTCTATATGCGCCTATAATATTATACATGCAATGTAACATATAATATTAAATAATTAATAAATACGTAAGAGCTAAAAGGAAAAGAAAAATCCATCGACACATTTTGATTAATAATTAATAATAAAAGACGAGATAGGCGCGCGTCGATAAATCTCTCTCTTGCGCGCGCGCGGGCTCGTAAGAGAGAAGAGAAAAAAAGAAACAGAGGAGAGACAACGCGACGCGCCTCGCTTATGTTATTATTTATCTAATACACAAGCGAGCGCGCGAGCCGCGAGCCGCAAGAATCTTCTATCTCGGAGCGCGCGGCGCGAAATTAAAATATTTTGAATAAAACGTGTTAATGATTAAAACGCACACGCGCTTGTACGCGCACACCAATACTACTACTGGCGATATACAATGGCTGATATATAGGAAATACATACGTAGCCGCGCGCGAGACGCTCAATACACACAAACACATGTGCATTACATAAACGTAATTACTCAATAAATTCACGTACTCTCGAAGCCGCCATACAGCGCATATACAGCACGTAAACCTCTCCGTTGCTTGCGCAATGCATCTCTCTCTCTCTCTCTCGCTTACGGTGTGTGTGTGTGTAAGTTGTGCCTTCATATACATGCGTGTGTGTGGCTGTAAAGCTGCTACTGCCGCTGCCGTTGCTGCTCTCTTAGAAAAGCAAAAAAAAAAGAAAGAAAGAGTCAGAGAGAGAGAAAAAATACGTATGTACATAATCGCGCAGTTTGTCCACTGCACACACTGCTGCTGCTGCACGCCGCCGAGGCCCAACGGAGAGCGCGAGAGAGAGAGGAGAGAGATTGACACGTGAGGCGTCTAGAAACGTCGCGCGCTGCACAACAACACAACGACACGACGTGCGTGAAAAATCGTCGTCGTCGCAATGCATGTGTAATGGCCAAATTAGTCGCCGCAGAGGCAGCAGCAATCGCCGTCGTCGTCAATTGAAGTCTCTGGCCCTGGCCCTCACTGGAACACGACACAAGAGAGACACGAGAGTGAGAAAAAGGAATGCATTATCATCATCGTGATCGTCATTATATGAGCAAGAACGCCGCATCCAAGGAGCAGAGGAGTAGGAGGTAGTAGTGGTAGTAGTAGAATTAGTAAGAGCGTCGTACTATACCGCACACATGTGTGTGTGTGTATGTGTGCATGCAGTGGCGTACGTGCGCGCGCAAAAAAGAAAAAAAGAGAATGTGAGCCGCGGATAGATGAATGCAATTCTCTGTATAAAGTATATATAATACTCACTCTCCATGTAGACAACGGCGGCCAAGAGCCCAAGGGAAAAGAGCAGAGTCATGGTGCAGACGAGCACGGTCAATTGATTGCGCGCGCAGCAGGACTTTTGTCGGGTGGCTGGCTGGCCCCGGCCGCCCAGGCCGTTCACCACCGTGAAGTGGGTGCTGCTGCACTGGCTCACGGCGTCCAACTGCTTCTCCTTTTTCGGATCGCTACCGGCCGTCGTTATCTGGGCCGGGTGGAGAGCGGCGAGCTGTCGCAGGTTCTCCGTCGTCAGCAGCAACGTTCCGCTCTGCGAGTAGGAACGAGGAAAAAAGCTCAGTACAATGGGAAAAAGCTCGGAAAAGATCGCCGCGAGCTTGCTTACCCTGGCCGAGGTGGTCGAGTTTTGCGACGACGACGACGAGGATGATGATGACGAGGACGAGGACGTGGAGGAAGCTCTCGTCGAGGAAGTCTTGTCCGACGGCGGCGATGACGACAGCGGGGTAGACAGCGTCTCGTTGCTCCGAGTCGAGCTCTTGCTGCCGTTGAGCTGCTTATAGGACGATGGCGAGACCGGGCTCAACGACGATTTTTTGCCGATTGTACTGCTGCTGTTGTTGAGCTGATTGTAGGGGTGGTGGATCGACGGGGTCGACGAAGTGTTGTTGCTGCTGCTGGTACTGCTGTTGAGTGGATGGTGGTGTCTCGATGGCGATGCCACTCGGGTCGACAACGTCTCGTTGCTCTGACCCGAGCTCCTACTGCTGTTGAGCTGATGATGGTGGCTCGATGACGACGACGCCAGCCGAGTCGACAACGTCTCGTTGCTCCGAACTGAGCTCTTGCTGCTGTTGAGCTGGCTCGATATCGACGACAGCCCGGTCGACAGCGTGACGTTGCTGCTGCTGCTGCTGTTGTTGAGCTGATTGTAGGGGTGGCGGTTCGACGAGGGCCGCTGCTGCTTGCCCCAGCTGGCCTCGCTGGTCCTCGCGCTGCCCACGAGGCTCGGCCTCGGGATCTGATACTTCTTGGCCGCCGCCGCCGCTGCTGTCTCGTCTTTGATACCCATCACAACCACCTGTGTACACACATACGTGAACCATTATATTAATCTTAATGTACGTTATATCGGACGACATACTAAAAGAGACGTGCGTGTGTGTAATCGCGATGAGAGAGTAGATGTATATGTTATTATTACAGGATGGGTGCACTCTCGCGAAACACGACAGTCCACTCCGAGTCTTGTTGTTGCTGTTGCTTCGAGTAAGTTCGAGCAAGTATACGCGCGCGTATACGTGTATACAAAATAACAAATACACACGAGTTTACGTACGTATGTATGAGGCATCACGACGATGCACGCATGCATGAGCGATAATATGTGCAGGCAGGCACGCAGGCATGGACAAACAAGTGCGGGCTCGTCGTCAGCGTCGAAAAGGAGGTGATGCAATACACCCAATGCTGCTAGCTCTCGTTCTTCGAGTTCGTAATCACGCATCGGGTTCGTCCGCGAGTCGACGACGACGAAAGCGGCCTACGCTGCCCGAGCAAGGACGAAGAAAGAAAGATTCCGGTTCTTTTTGCGCGCGCTCGCGACCTTTTTTTCATTGCTCTCGCTGCTATATACTTCTCTTCTTCGTGCGTGTATAAGTGCATGTACGTGCATGCGCGCGAGAGCCTGACACTGCACGCGTGCTCCCGTTTTGATGAAATTTTTTTTCCATGACTGCCGTGACTGACTCGCTCGCGCGCACGCTGCGCCGAGTATACGACGACGACGAGCGACTCGAGAGAGTCGCGACTTCAATGACACATTCCACGAACGTGCACGGCACACACGAACACACGCACACGTCGATATATGCGCCGCAGATAATGCACCGTCCAGCAGCAGCAGCGCGTCGATCGTTAAGAGATCGGTATTATATTGTATTATATGTACGTTAACAGAGACGCGGACACATGCAAATAGCGCGTGTAATAATAAAGATCGGGTGGCTATATTTAAAAAAAAAAAGAGCCTTATAAAACCGCCCGCCCGACGACGCTACCTTGCCTGGAATTTCCAGCGCGCGCGCCCGCTTTCTAATTGTTCAATGTTCGCTGCGTTGCCTCCCTCAAGGACTCCGAAATTTTTATGCTCGCGTACATACCCTGTATGTATGTATATGAGCATGCGCTTCATCATCATCACATTTTTTTTCGTTGCTTTTCGCGCGCGACCGTGATCCTTCAAAAGTCTCCCACCTGCCGAATCCTTGTGTTTGAGTGCGTATACGCGAAAGATATCTGCGCTGTGTTATTTGGCCAGCAACGGCAGATCAGCTGTTGAGTGACGAGCCGGAATTGCCGATCTCGCGCCGATTCATCTCTCTGCGCGCGGCGGTGAATCTAACACGCATCGGCAGCAAATCTCGCGCAACCTTGTCTAGGTCGTTGGCAAAACACTCGAACCCGATTTGCATTTATGAGATTAACGACATAAGAGTCGAGAGTCGAGCGAGCGAGCAAAAGCGCGATATTATTATATTATTATGTCGAACGCGCGCGAACGTTAGCAATATAGGCGCCGTCGAGACTGTCGAAAAAATATATAACAACGATTATACGAGGAATCTTCTCCCCCTTTCGGACTCTCGTGTTGTGTCGTGTTATTATGTGTTCGCGATCTGCGAGACTCGATCTTTCTCCCTCCCATGCAATGTCCTTTTCTCATCACTTGGCTTTTCATCGCTCGTAAATATATGATGTATACGCGTTGGGGCTGCACTTCTCACAACACTCGCCTCTCGTCGTCGGGTTATATTATGCTTTTTTTCGTTTGCATTTAATTTTATTGACATGATTTAAATGTATGTCAAGACTTTGACACTACATCGTAAAGTCGACGCTACGACACACGCAGCAGCAGCAGCAGAGACGACGAGATTCCTCTCTCGAGCTCTCTCGTGCACAGCGCGTAGAGAGCGGGAAAAATAAATTTGATTGAATGGCTTAAGGCGCATTATAAGCCTCTTTTTGTTGCAACAAAAATAGGATTCTCTTCTCTCGGGCGCTGAACGTCGCTATGCTGCTGCCGCTGTTGCTGGCGATTAACCAATCGAATAGGATCATCCTATCGCGCTGTCTCGTGACTACTCTCCCATGCGCGCGCGCCTTGTTTTTCAATTTTTCCTTTTTTTTGTTTGTCGTTAGCGCTCTCGACGCATTGTGGCATTGTTTTTCTTCTCAGCCGGTTTTAAGTGTATATATGGAAATCGGCAATTTTATTTATCCTTAAACTCCTCGCAAAACTATTCCTCTCCGCGTCGCGTGAGTCTATTCGGATATTTTGTTTTTTTGCGCTTCTATAGGAGAGTCCGCATCTCGGAACGCGTCGCGTTCCTTCGTCAGCGTCTTGCTGCTGCTGCTTCTTCTTATTAATCTCCGGCCGAAAATCCCCCGCGCTTATGCGACGATCGTAAAAATGGAATTTCATCAATGCCTCGCTCGCTCGCTTACTCTTGCCGTAAAAACCTAAACCTTTATAAAATATGCGTTGGCAGCATTAAAAAACCCAACGTCGTCTTCATCGTCTACGTATTCTCATTTTTTTTCTCTCTCTCTGGCAGCTGTATAATATATATTATATGCGGAGCAGCAGCAGCAGCAGCGCACCGGAGAATAAATTAAGCTATAAAGGTCAAGGATGACCGATTGCCCAAGAGCAAGGACGTAGACACACGTCGGTGTTGCTAGTCTATAGGCGAATGTGCAGCGGCAGCCTACTGCAAAGTCTGGGCTGCTGCTGTATACATGCAGCTACTATAAGCTGCAGCTCGAAGCGCGCGCGCCATGAGGAAACTCACGTAATCCGCTCGCGTTTACTTACACTGCACATACACACACGTATCACACTTTCGCGCTCGTACAGAGTCTATATACGAGTCCGAAAATTCTCGCGATCAATTAGGCGCGCTTACGTACCTATCTCTCGCGCGTGTGTATGCGTGTGTACGGTAGTTTTTTTTGTTGCCGTCTTGTATACGCGCGGCACGCATAAAGGTCGCGACAGCCGCGCAATTAGATAACGAGCGAACGGACACGCATACATAGAGCGTTCGAACGCGTATATATATGTATACGGCGCGCAAAGTCCGCGCGAGAGAGCATTTCGATGATTATTGTTATTTCTTTTGTCTGGTGGTGCTCGCGCGAGCGCGAAAGCTGCGTACGTATTATACGGCGCTATAGAGGTATGTATACGCGTGCACATGTGCTGATTCATTCGCGGGAATACGTATGTATATCGCGCGAGCGGAGTGGCAATGTGTATATATTCGGCTATAATATTATAACGCGCATCTCGAGTACGGGCTGTATGTGTAGCTCTCTGTCAGCTGAGCGATGATGATTTTTTTTTTCGTACTCTCCGGCAAATATCTTAGATACGTTATATCGTGCTATATAACGCCAAATACGCACATGTAGCAAAAGCTCGCTCGTTTATGTATGTATTTGTGGCCGCGGGCGTTGTCTGCCGCAATTCGCTCGCACACACATACACTCCAGACACAAACGGCAAATCTCGCGTTCTTCTCGCCGATCGGTATATAAGTACGTTGAACCTTTCCCATGTATAATCCATAATTAATGAGCATTTGCGAGACAAGAAAGACACGTTATTTTTTCCTTCTATTAATCCCATCTACCTCTCATTCTTGTTCTTGGATAATCCTTCTATTTCGTTCCATCGTCTTCTTTTTTTTTCTTTTTGCTCTCGGGGGCCTTATTAAACCAAGTGTCAAAGGTATATTATATCGAAGAATGCCACATGGGTGTGTTGACACGCGGCGGCCTACCTGGCCTGGCGCGAGTGCCAATTGAGAAAAAAAAGGAGATAAGGATTCGCGCGCACGTATACAGTCGTTGCCGCCGCGACTATGCAGTACATGCAGCGTATGCGGTGCGCATTATTATAAGTGTGTATAGGAGCGCGACGAGACAGAGACATAGAGCGAGAGAGAGAATGGAAAAATGTTGATGGATTTAATTCGTCGCGACAAATAAACACTTTGAAATTGTCTCTCCCGGTCGCTATGCCGGATTTGAAAAAAAATCATTTCTTTTTTTTTGCCGATTCTCTCTCTCTGTCTCTCTCTGGCCGCGTTGGCGAGATGAACAGGTTCTGCCCGTATCGTATATCTATATATACGTATATCATAAAGAGACTCGGGCTCGCGACGCGACGCCTTATATATACCGATATGACCGAACGCGCTTGTTGGGCATATATACGCGAGCAGCAGCGGAACAGCTGATCCTCCGGGCCGAAAAAATAACGCCCGCGATTATGATCGCACAGGCTCGCGGTGCGGCCGAGTCCGGAGAACGGCCTATATACAGCCGCGCGCGGCAGACGTGTGTGCGAATTAAGTGTGTGGGTATTTCAAAATAATTATCACATAATGTGCGAGCGAGCGAGCGAACCGCTGCCGATGTGACTGCGAATTGTTATATGGTTTCTCTCTCGCGCCTTTTTTTTTTCTCTTTCATTTAATCACGGACACTCGCACACACACGCGCACTTATGCACTGCACGAGGATTATTCGTTCGAATGATGTATCTTGGAATAATGTACTCGAGACGCGATTGCGGCCTAGCGCGGTGGTACTTTTGCACTCTTATAAGTAGGTGTCGAGGAGCAGCATGTGGCTTTCTGTTCTTCTTCTTCTCTCTACGTGTATGTGTGCATGTGTATACCTATATACTGTATAAAATGCATCAGTGGCACACACAGGCATGAGTACAGTTGCAAGTTGCGCAACTCCTCATGGCAGAGAGATGAGCGCAGCGCAGTGCAGTGCAGTGCAGTGCGCGCGGCAACTGTTGCACACTTGAGAGCGAAGAAAAAATATATATATCTATATGTGTGTTTGTGTGTATGTATATTGCAGGATAGAAAACGCAAGATTACGAGTACAACATCGCGGTGTATCGTCTCCGTCTCTGTCTCTCTGTATAAATCGCGGAGCGCATCGTGCGTACCGCAGCGCACAATATAAGCGATAAATTAAACGCCAAATGACCGAGTGCGTCGAGCAAAGATCGCTAATTAATTAAGGAGTGGATGCAGCAGCGCGCGAACGCGATGATTCCTTTATTGTTATTACAGAGGTATGGAAGAGAAAAAAAGAATTACTCACGTCTATGCCGGCTTCCATGGGATGAGCGACGTCGCACAAAGCTTGCGGCAGTATGTGGTGGTAGTGTCCGGCAGTGTGCAGAGGCGACGCGGCGCCGCTTATGATCGACAAGTGCGACTGCACCATTTTTCGATTTATATGCTTTTTGAAATTTAATTTGATTTTTTTTTGTCCAAGTCCTCCACTCTGCAACGCGAATCCCGCGTTACGATCGAATTACAATTCGGCGCGTAGGATCGTCGCCGAGAATGGCTTTAAAGTCGTCGTATTATTATTAGGCAGCGCGAGCCCTTTCTATTGTACTCCTTTAGAATGAAACTATTCCTCGGCCTGGCACATACACAACATTATATGTATATATACTGCATGTACACACAGAGGAGCAAGAGTAGTAGGTACTGCTGCTGCTGCTGCTGCATGTGTTGTCGTCTCTTTTGCTCTCCTCTGCCGCTGCTGCATGCGCGCGTGCAGTGAAAGTGTCTATTTGTCTATGCCGCCACAGGCCAGGCTAGCAGAGACTCTTCTTCTCGAAAACTTCTTCTTATTTTTTGTTAAATTTATTTATTATCACTAAAGTCTCGAGTCACACATTCGTCGCTTAATCGATTAAATTATATTATATTCGATTCAGCCGTGGAGCTGGGGTCAGCTCATCGTCTCGGGAGCAGCACCATTAAAGATAACGAAAACGATCGCGAAAAGTGTTCCTCTAGCGACGATATATACGATATAAAAATGACAACGGTGCTGGTGTTATAGGTCGTCGACGACGTTTGCACGAGTCGCGACTCAAGTCGAGACTGATGATGGCTTTAGGTTTGTGTATCGGTTGCTGCCCGAGGTTGCTGCTGCTGCTGCTGCTGTTTCGCAACTTCTGTCTCTCATGCAGCTCTACCACGGCACAGAGAGTCTCCTGCAGCCAGGCAGTCAGGGAGAGAATACACACATACACATGTATATGTATATATAATATAGCAGAAGGGGCCTCTCTCGTCGTCGTCGTCGTCGTCGTGTGCACTGCAGCCGCAGCAGAACACTTACACTCGCGCGCGTATATTATATATTCTCTATATAACTATATATGCACACGCGGTGTGGTGGCGGTGGCGGTGGCGGCTTGAACGGCGGCGGCGGCGGCGGCGGCGGCAGAGGTGCGGTGAAAAAGTAAAGGTAGTAGGGGCCTTACGCGAGCGAACTTGAGAGCAGATAGAGCTCGGCGCACGAGACACACTGCTATATACTACTGCTCGTTGTGTATATTACACCCGACGGATGACTGGCCCCGACACTGCCGCGGACTAGCTCTCTTATACACCTTCGCGGAGCACCTCATCGCGTATTATATACATATTCGCACGGCTCTCCCACCTAATGATAATCCTATTGGTGAACTATACCACTAGCTCGGAGCGCGTACAGAACCACGATATTATGTACTCCTTTTTTTTTGTTCTTCTCTTTTTTTATCGTCATCGTCATCTTCGTAGTCGTCCACTTGCTGCGGTGCTTTTCTTGCCCCCTTCTTACCCCCTTGAACGCCCCGCGAATCACTATATACGATGTTTTGCTGCTCTTCTTCTTCGCCGATATATACAAGCGGATCTCGAGAGATGTCCTTTTTGTCTCTTTTGCACGTGACACGACGCGTTGTTCTGTCTATATATATATTATATCGCTGCAGCAGGACTTGAGCTGCTCGTCGTTATTAAGTCCTCTTGCTGCCGCTGACTGCATATATACATCGAATTGTATCTTTTTGTACACATCTTCCCGTGTGTCATTCAGAAAATATGTATTATATACATCTTTTTAATTCAAATGAAGTCTCTCCCGCTCGCTCACTGCTTAACGATTATATATCGTTGCGTCATCAATTATAAAAATGTTTATGTGTGTACTTGCCTAATTTGCTATTTATCAATTTTTCCAATCTAATCCAAAGCAGTCAGCCGTGGGGATCTCTCTATATATGTGCGAATATGTGTTTTTTTTTTCCTTTTTTTTTTATTAATATCATTATTCATATGTGCCGCGGCGCTCGATGAATAATATAAGAAAATTCCTTTGACGAAACGATCCGTTTAAGCTGCAAGTGCCGTGGCGTCGGCGTCTCTCTCTCTCTGTGCATCGTCGATGTCATCTGCAGCGAGGTGCGCGCGAGGTGAATTATGGATATTTTTCAAATTAAAAGAGAAGATTGAAGGAGAAGAAGTAAAAAAAAAACTAGTAAAGAGAATCCGATCTGACTCTTGAAAGGACAGGCGCCACACACGTAATATTATTGAAAAAATATCACGTATATCGAGCGAGCGATATTATTCGATCATATAGCTCGCGAGACATTATTTGCCTGAATCCGAGTCAATTTTTCACGCGCATTAAACTCGAGTGTACGTACGCACGCACTCGCGCTTCGATATACTATAATAATGCCACGCGTTCGTTAATTGCTATCACTCGGCTGCTGCTCCTGCGTCGGAGTTTCTTCAAGGCTGTTAAATGGAATAAGGTTGAAAATATGTCTTTATAACCCATGTGCACTGCAGCGAGAGCGAGAGAGAGAAAGAGCACATTGTCGAGCTCGTCGATTGTGCATTGTAAGGATCGCGATTATAATAAAAGAAAGAAGAAAGAAAAAAAAAGAAGGAAAAAGTCGAGCGATGGAAGGAAGTCGCGCCGCCGTCACCGCCACCGCGCGCGAGTCGCGTAATGATATACTCGTTGTGCAGATTTTTCGGTTTTACATTCATTAACACCGGCTTGTCGTATGCTGTTGCTGCACTTGTGGGAAAGAAGAAAAGCCGGAGAGATAAATACCGGTTCTGATCCGCTCGTGCGAGCTGTATCCTATATGCTTTTGCATTTTTATATCGCATTGTACACGCGGCGGCTGCGGGGTGTGAGGAGGGAGGAAATTTTTCAATCCAAAAGTATCAAAAGACACTTTGAGCCATCCTATATATGTATAATATAATGCAAGAGCTGCGTGCATGTGCATGTGTGTGCGTGAGCCGCGATACGAAAAACCAGAGCCTCCTCGCCGCGCGCAACACGTATTTATATGCATAAATGACGAGTAGTGCTTCGAGGAAAAATAATAAGGACTCGTGTGCTCGCGCTCGCGGATGAGCTGCGCACGCAGAAATAAACTCCGGGTACTTTACGAGACAGGTACATATATAATATTCGCGCGCTCCGAAGTACAGTAGGCACGCAACCGACAGAGAGAAAAGAAGAAGAAGAAGAGAATCACTTGTACTATTTTTAACATAAAAAAAAAAGATGAAAAAAAACAACATAATCACTCGTAGCCTAGTGCCTATATAATGCAGTGTGCGGGTGCTGCTACTAAAGCTAAAAAGCATGTCACACGCATGAATACACAGGCAGATCACCGAGCTCACTCGTTCGTTCGTACGTCGTATGCGTGCCGCGGCAGTCGCAGCTCATAATTACAATATTGTATTATATATTTAAGCGCCTCGTTCTTCTATATGCATCATCTGCTGCTGGCTTTGAATCGTGATGCAGCGGCACGGCGTGCATGCAAATTATTGCGCCACTTTTTTTTTTCTTTTTCCTTCTAATTTTGTGTTTGAGTAACGGCAAAAAATCTCGCGCGCGCGCTGCACTTATCCTTTAATTTACGCTCGTCACTTTACGTAATTAGCATATATCTATGTCTAGCTTTGGTAGTAGTAGTAGTAGTAGTATTATAAGCGGTAGCGGCGTCGTCGTCGTCGTCGGCGGCGTCGGTAGCACAAAGTGCGATAAGGGGGCGTAACACGCCGCGCTGCTCATTGTTGTTACATACTCGACTCGCGACTCCGACTGCAGTATAACGATCATAGGCAAATATGCAGCGGCGGCTCGGTAATGTATATATAAGTACTGCTACTGCTACTACTACACGTTATGCACGCGGCTGCCTCTGCGCGCGATGAATCGATTCTTTATGGTGTTCTATAAGACTTACGTCCTTAGTGATGTAATTGGCGTTGAATCGAAGAGAGTCTCCTCGCATAACATGAGCAGCACATCGTCTGTGCGCGTATATGTATACGTTTTACGTATTATACCTGTAATAATGTGAAAAAATGAGGCGTGCGTGCGTGACGGGTGTCTCGTATACGCGCACGGACAGACACTCGACAATTTGCGCACCGCCGCTGAATTTTTGATGCAGCAACGAAAGCTTGTTCATCTTCGCGGGTCGCTCGCTCCTCTTAAAAATAAAAAAAAAAAAAAAACCCAAGCACATTTCGGCGAGGTCATTACTAGGAAGAACAAGAGCGATTATTGCTGCACAGGGAGACGAGAGAGACGACGACGACGATTATATCTCTAGATATAAATATAGCTGTATTATAATACTACTACGCGAAATAAGAAAGAAAATAACAATGACGTAAAGTCACTGTTTTGCGGTGTCGTCGTCGTCGTCGTAGTATCATTCGTGTATAAAGCAGTAGTAGCGTTGGCATTGTGTGCTCCGCGCGCGCTTCGATCAACAAAGGAGACGCACACGAAATTATCATTATATTATTTAAAAAGAAGAAGAGGACGAAGACAAGAGAGAGAGAGAGAGAGAGACAACGCGGACGCAGGCAGCGACAACAACGAACGAAAAAAAAAAGTAATCATACAGTCAATTATGATGATTTAGCTGCGGTGTCATAGAGAAACTGCAACGCGTCGTTCGTCGTCGTCGTCTTAGGAGTCGTTTCCTTCCTCGAAAGGCCATTGATATTTCGCAAAGGCAAACAATGATTTATTATTTATTTATAAAAGCTGCGGCAACGGCGTCAGCAGCTCTCGTTATTCATCTATCGAAGCCAACAATTGCCCCTTTTTTTTCCTCGCTCTCTCTTCTTCTTCTTATTCTCTCTTTTTTTATTTCAACAAAAAAAGCATTAATCGAGAGCTCGAGCTCGCGCGCAAAAAGGCGTATGTAATAGTCAAGGACGCGTGGTTTGCACCACACGTATAATATAAAATCTACTATTATACACGACACTATTATATACACGGCGCAAGTAGTCGAGCGAGCTTCCTTCTACGTCAGAACTCGTACACGCACGGATCGCGACGCGCGTATACGCGGCAATATAGACCTGGTCTAGATTTAATAGGCACTACTGTGTGTGCACCGCGTATAATACGCGCATTTCGTTTTGTCGCGCACGTGCACATCGACAACAGCAGCAGCAGCGGCAGCAGAGATAGAGCTTTGAACCTACACAGAACGAGAGAGAGAGAGAGAGAGAAACTCGTCGAGGCCGCGGTGGATCGCTCATGTTTTTCCTTTTTTCCATCGTGCTCTCTCTCTCTCTCTTCGCATTTTCCTTTTTCTCGCTGCGTGCTTTTATTGTATCTTATTGTATACTTTGTTATAGAGTTCTCCATTGCTGCTGCTGCAAGTGCGTGTGCTTATATTACTCGCGTTCACGCAGGCAGTCAGCAGCACCCCCTTTTCCCTCCTCGCGTACGTACATACGTGCCTCGGCCTATACACTGCCGATCATTGTTTTGGATTTTTTGGTTTTCGGCTCGGCAAGAAAACCGGTTGCATCGGCAGCAGCCCGGGATTTCTTTTAATGCGTCCAGATACACATATATATATTGTATATGTGTGTATTATACAGAAAAGAACGTTATGTGCTGCACAGCATCTCGTCGCTCGTTCTCGGCGCTCGCAGAGTCGACTCAACCCGGACACGCCACCACCGAGTCCGCCGCGCAGGACTTGTTATACGACCTTTTTCTCGTTTGCTCTCTGCATCCTACTATATAAGTTTATTATACACCTCCTATGTCAGAGTCGCCGCAGCCTCCGCACCAACCTACGTGTGTGTGTGTGTGTTGTATATATATAGAGCTGCTCCTTTTTCCTTCGAGGATACGCCGCTCGCATTATGACCGCGCGTGCATTGCTTTACATGGCGTTCTTGGAAAAACGTAGGTATCTCTCGGCTCAA